CGCATGGCATGGCATGGCATGGCATGGCATGGCTCTTTGGTATTGCCCGTGCTTTCCTCTGCTTTAGGCTCATACGCAGCGAGTTCCTCTGCTTTCTGACTGCATTCCTAAACCCCCTTCTCACCGCTTGGCACACCCTCATACCCCTGCCTTTAACCCCCCTTCTCCTCCGCTCGCCAATCAGGTGCGGCATGTGTGTGAGGAGGGCGCGCAGACATTCATGGGCTCTATCAAGGAGGGCCCGACGTGTGAATCATATCCTCTATTGCATCAACTCAAACCCTCTTTTTCTTCCCCTCCCCACCCCCCTCAGGTGCGGCATGTGTGTGAGGAGGGCGCACAGACGTTCATGGGGACAATCAAGGAGGGCCCGACGTGTGAATCATATCCTCTACTGCATCAACTCTAACCCTCTTTTTCTTCCCCTCCCCACCCCCCTCAGGTGCGGCATGTGTGTGAGGAGGGCGCGCAGACATTCATGGGCTCTATCAAGGAGGGCCCGACGTGTGAATCATATCCTCTATTGCATCAACTCTAACCCTCTTTTTCTTCCCCTCCCCACCCCCCTCAGGTGCGGCATGTGTGTGAGGAGGGCGCGCAGACATTCATGGGCTCTATCAAGGAGGGCCCGACGTGTGAATCATATCCTCTATTGCATCAACTCAAACCCTCTTTTTCTTCCCCTCCCCACCCCCCTCAGGTGCGGCATGTGTGTGAGGAGGGCACACAGACGTTCATGGGGACCATCAAGGAGGGCCCGACGTGTGAATACGAGCTTGCACTGCACACTAACCTACTGTGCTCACACCCGTACGTCCTCCGCTTGCGCTGTTGGGCTGGTTCAAAGGTTTGGAGTTGGAGTGTAGGATGACTTTTGACTCGACTCAAAAGTCAACTTGGTTCAAAGGTTTTGAGTTGGAGCGTAGGATGACTTTTGAGTCGACTCAAAAGTCAACTTGGTTCAAAGGTTTTGAGTTGGAGTGTAGGATGACTTTTGAGTCGACTCAAAAGTCAACTTGGTTCAAAGGTTTTGAGTTGGAGTGTAGGATGACTTTTGAGTCGACTCAAAAGTCCACTTGGTTCAAAGGTTTTGAGTTGGAGTGTAGGATGACTTTTGAGTCGACTCAAAAGTCAACTTGGTTCAAAGGTTTTGAGTTGGAGTGTAGGATGACTTTTGAGTCGACTCAAAAGTCAACTTGGTTCAAAGGTTTTGAGTTGGAGTGTAGGATGACTTTTGAGTCGACTCAAAAGTCCACTTGGTTCAAAGGTTTTGAGTTGGAGTGTAGGATGACTTTTGAGTCGACTCAAAAGTCAACTTGGTTCAAAGGTTTTGAGTTGGAGTGTAGGATGACTTTTGAGTCGACTCAAAAGTCCACTTGGTTCAAAGGTTTTGAGTTGGAGTGTAGGATGACTTTTGAGTCGACTCAAAAGTCAACTTGGTTCAAAGGTTTTGAGTTGGAGTGTAGGATGACTTTTGAGTCGACTCAAAAGTCAACTTGGTTCAAAGGTTTTGAGTTGGAGTGTAGGATGTGTAGTTTTGAGGCGCCTTAAAACTAAATTGGATTTTGAGGCGCCTGAAATCTAAATTGGGTTGTTGGGCTGGTTCCTAGGTTGTTGTGAGTTGGAGTGTAACATGTGGCTTCAGGCCTCGAGCCTCTTTGCGCATTCCAACGTGTGCTCTTGCGTCTCTCTGATGCTCCCAATCTAGTTTTGAGGAGTGTACAAACTGATGCTCCCTGTCCTCTGATGCTCATATCCACGTTCCGCCCATCCCCATCCCCCTTCTTCCTGCCCCAGCCTCTTCCGCAGGGTGTGACAGCCCATGCACTACATCAACTGCCTTCACTCCTATTTCAAGGCGCCTCAATAAAGCTATCCACCTTCCACCCATTCCGCTCACCTCTCCCCTTTCTTCTCCCTCCCCCAGCCTCTTCCGCACTGTGAGGCAGCCCATCCACTTCATCAACTGCCACCAGTTCCCTGCCACATCTTCTTCCTCCTCCTCCCCCTCCGCCTCTACTTCTGACCCATCTCCTCTTGAAATAACCCCTCTCGATGAGGCTGCGGAGGGGACTGGGGAGGGAGGTATCCAGGGAGGGGTGGAGGAGGGAGGGGTTGCGAAGGGAGACGGGGAGAAGGGAGAAGAGGTGGATGGGAGTGGCCGTGATGGGGAGGCGGAGGAGGAGGATGGGGTGTTGTCGTTTGTGTACGAGGGGGAGGAGGAGGAGGAGGAGTTAGTGGAGGTGGATCCAGAGGTGGAGGAGATTGAGGAGAGCCTTAGTGCCTTGTGACCCATACACACACCCAGTGATTCACACACTTTGAGGCGTCTCAAAAGGTGAACCATGAGGCGGAGGAGGAGGAGGGGCTAGTGGAGGTGGTACCAGAGGTAGAGGAGATTGAGGAGAGCCTCAGCGCACTGTGACTCACGTGCTTTCGAGACATCTCACGATATGTCAAGTGAGAGGAGGATGAGGAGGAGGAGGAGCTAGTGAAGGTGGATCCGAAGGTGGAGGAGATTGAAAAGAGCCTCAGTGCACTGTGACTCATGTGCACTGTCATGCTTTCATTTACCGGTATCAGGTTAATAAACTCTGATCTTCAGGGCGTGGAGTAGTGTTTGTGCGTCACTGAGATGGCTCGCAGTATTCGTTTGACCAAATTCCATTTACGGTGTGTACTACGTATTTACGGTAAGGGTGGTACTATTTCTTTTTACATGTGACTCTTGCAGTTCATGGGGGACAGTGATTTATCTCGCAGCTTGGAACACGTGATTCTGCCCCCGGTTCTTATTTCTAGGATCGAAAACAAACAGATAGAGAAAACAATTTATGCGAATCAGGCACGAATGATGTGCTTTATAAGCTGATGGGATTGACATTGATACTAATGAAACCATCATGTGCGAGATGACAAGCTGGTATCAGCCAGTGAAAGCATCACGAAGAGGGAAATGGACTCGAGAATTCGAGACCATTGTACACCAACGAAATTGACATAATCTGCTGCTGAATGAAAGAATCATGTGGCGAGGAAATGGTCAAGGGATCATGAAACTATTGTAAGATGATGAAACAGACGTGCGAGAAACCTGAAAGGATTATGTGGCAAGGAGATTGAGATTGACATGGAATCATGAACGCATCGCTAAGACGACGAAATTGAAATGAGATACCTGAAAGCATAATGTGACGAGGAGATTGGCATCATGAAATTACAATAAGATGGTGAAATTGGAATGAGATACCTGAAAGCACAATGTGCTTAGGATCTAGACAAGGACCCCTGTGATCATGCAAGATGATGACATTAGCATGCGATACCTGAGAGAGCACGTGCTAAGGACATTGACGATCCTGAAATTACTGTACATATAAAAAATTGACATGAGCTACCAGGGAAGCACATGTGCTTGTGAAAGGCATGAGATACTGAATGTAGCATGAGGGATGCCAGTTGCACGAGATGCTAAGATAAACCATTTGGTGTAAATGAGGCTGCTCACCTCACAGCATCTGCGATGGCTAATCCTCACTTGCCAAACGGAGTGCAAAGCAAGTGGGGGATGGGAGAGGGAAGCAATATGGATACGTATGAAGGAGGGGGACGAGGATAAAAGAGGGATTGTCACTCTGAAAATGCGCAGACAAGGCAAGTATGTAGTACCCTAAATCCTCTCAAATCAGAGCACACCCACACCGGTCCTCCCTCTCTCCCACCCACACACCACTCCCTCACAGCAACATGATAGATGAAACTGGCTCAAGCCACTGAAAGCATCATGAGCTGATGTGAACGGTAATGATGAGCTAATGAAATGGTAATGACCGGGTACGAGAGTGATGAGCTGGTAAGACTTGCAAGAAAAACTCAAAGCTGATGAATTATAAATAGAATCATGGTCTGACAAAACTGGCATCCGGAAAAGAAAACAGAGACAGAAACTCTTGATGATGTGAAACTTGAATGTTTAACATTCATCACTGTTCACATTTCAGAGAGATGAGAGGTGAGGAGAGGGGGACGAATGCGTGTAGATGGTGACATGGTATTGTGACGAGACAACAGATGTGGGGGGGGAGGGGGACCATAGATTGTATGGCTCATGATTACATGAGACTAGCATGAATGAACCACTGAAAGTATTATGATCTGATGTGAATCACATAATAGACTGAACGAATGGTGAGCTGATGAAAACGGAATGAGACAGGGAATCCATTATGAGCTTATAAAACTGGGAAGAGAAATGAAATGAAAGCATGAGGACATGAGCTGAGCTGATGAATCTAGGATGGAAAGGTAAGACAACGAAAATGAAACTGGAATAAAACTAGACCGAGATACTCACCAAACTGAAATATTCACCATGATGATACCACTGGAAGAAGCCGACTCCGGGTGAATGTAACCATAAGCAGGGAAACAAGAGAAAATGCTACCGTCGACCATGTCACAATGAGCATTTTACTTGAATGGCACAGTCAGTTCCAGGACCATCAAGTCACTTCCCCCTGCTTCACCCCTTACCACACCAATACACCCACCAATCATTCCTCCCTTCCATGCACCATCAGTCGCAAAACACAAACACAGATTGCACATCTACATCATACATATAAATGTAGCATCAATGATAACACATTCCTAACATGGAACACAAAATAAAACTATCTAGAAACTTCTACTATGCAAGGGCCAAGCATGTGCATGCATGCTGCAGCAGTGGATCCAAGGGCATGTCATTCCCCCTCATGACATGCCTCCCCATTCCAGCTCACCACATTCCTCCACCTCTCCTCCCATCTCTCCCACAACACCCTGCAAGCAGGGTGGAAAAAGGGGTAAGTCCCTCCATGCACCTCCCTCTAGCCCCCACCAGCCATGCCATCTCATCCACCGCACTCGTCCGTTCACATCCCCATTGAACACGCCCTGGATCCCATCTGCTGCTGTTGCTTATTCCTTTTTTTTTCTTTATTTTTTTCTTTTCTTTTTCACGCCTTCACTTGGCTGCTTGCTACCTTTCCTGGCTTGGGAATACCACTTGACGTCACTCCTGCTGCGGCCCTCCTTGTTGCACTGCTTGCAGGTCTCGGAATTCCACTTGCTCCAACAATACCGGCCTTTGGGATGTGCGGAGCTGCTGCTGCCGCTGAAATGTTGCCTGCACTTGCACCCTTCACATCTATCATCGCCTTAGCTGCTGTCGCCTTAGCGAGCACGGCCTTGGTTGGTCGCGTCACCTTAGCTGCCGGCGCCTTGGCTGGGGTCACCTCAGCTGGCGGCGCCTTGGCTGGGGTCACCTCAGCTGGCGACGCCTTGGCTGGCGTCACCTTAGCTGGCGCCACCTTAGTTGGCATCGCCTTAGCTGGTGTCACCTTAGCTGGTGCCGCCGTAGCTGGCGTCGCCTTAGCTGGCGTCGCCTTAGCTGGCGTCGCCTTTGCTGGCGTCGCCTTTGTTGGCGTCGCCTTTGCTGGCGTCGCGGTGGCTGGCGTGGCTTTGGCTGCTGCAGCTGCGACGGTCGCTTGACCGCTGTGCACCGCTCTGGGCTTCACAGCAGCAGCGGTACCCATCACATCCCTGGGCCTGGGCTTCTTGCTGGGCGGCTTAGCCACGGGCTTGGGTCGCAGAGGGGAGAAGCCGAGCGACGCACGGGGGGAGCGCACAGCGCACTGCTCTACCTCGTTAAAGCGTCCCACGCGCACTGCAATCGCGTGCCGCCACATCTTCAAGGTGTTAGCGCGGCGCGCAGATCCAGCAAGAGACGGGGGGATCCGAGATGCCATAGCGGTAGGCTAATCGCACAGTACAAGCGGGAGGCGAAGGTAAAACCTGAAGCTGATCGAAGGAGCTAGAAGCAGGGTTAAGAAATTCTGAGATTGCAACTGCTGTGGTCGTGAAAATGGCGAGGACAGGTGGGCTTTGTAGTGTTGGGAAGGGAGGTTCTAAGGCGGAGGGAAGAGTGGATGGAGCTCGACTGGCGAAAAGCAATTCTCGAGGTTCCGGAGGAGGCAAGTCCGCTGCCCGAACCGAGAAGAGCAAACACCCCGAAACATACGCTCTGCTTTGGATCCGAACCTTTGGAGGCTTGGGAGCGGAACTTCGATGTTGACCGCTGTCGTAGGACAGCAGCAGCAGCGAAAAACAAACTCGAGTCGCATTTCCGCTAAGCTCTCCCGCTGCCGAAGCAACAGGAAGTGATTCGTCCACTGGATGAAGAAGGGGACTGCTGGTGCGTTGACTGGATGATGGGTGAACTTGACGGACTTGCCGTCGTGAGATTAGACCAAGGCTGCTCGAAGAATGGTTCCGTTCCGTCATCGTCAATATAATGCTGAAGTCGCCGCATAGCGGCGGGGGGCAAACGCGACTGAGACGGAGCCTGCGTCGCAAGGTGACTGAAGGCATTGCGCTGTCAGGAACCGCGCCTCGCATGCATGCTTGTTGTAATCTTCTCCCGAGGAACTAGGGTTCCGTCTGGCACCTCCCAGCCAAACCAGTTCACCAAGAATGGCGCGAAATTGAAGAAAAACTAGTGATGCGATATTTGCAGATCTGTTAAATGTGTACGTTTTGTAAGGACTTGAACTTTAAAATGTTTACATTCACACTAGTATTCTTTTCACTCAGCCCTTTCAGCTTAGCCCTACAATGCAAAAATCAACCTGGATGTTGTAAGAACGAAACAAGATTTCTCATCTAAGAGGGTATTTCATCTAATCTTTCAAACACTACAGTAATTCAGGATGACTCGGTTCATATCCATTGTCACCTGGCCTTTTGGATTGCAAGCGTAGTCTCTGGGAGTTATTTGACGTAGTCAGCCAATAGAGTTGGGCTGGCATAGCATGCTGATAGGATCAGGAGCATATGAAAATAGGAATTAAATACTAGCATCATCAGCTGAAAAATTTCCACGAGATGCTTCAAACATCATGGGCATGTGAGCTTGGTTGGCAGACACACTGGTACTGAAATCAGCAAGCATCATGAGCTGATGAATTCAGGATGAGTTGCTGGGGCACATAAGCAACTGAAATTTCCATGAGATAGTCATGAGCTGATGAAATAGGAATGCAATGTGGTTGGCATCATCAGCTGAAGAGACTGACTTGAGATGCTGAAAGTAGATGTGATATCAAATGTGTCATCAGCTGGCGAAATTGACTGAAAATTCTGAAATCATCATGAACCAGTGAACACAGAGTAGATACCGAAGCCATCGGTGCTGACTGAACTGGCATGAGCTGCTGCTACAGATACTTTGGGCTTGTGAAATTGAAACGAAACACTTAGTGATTTGATGAAACTGGCAAGAGCTGGAAAAGTATGATGCGCAGATAAATTTGGAAAAGTATGATGCACAGATGAATTTGGAAAAGTATGATGCACAGATGAATTTGGAAAAGTATGATGCACAGATGAATTTGGAAATGTATGATGCACAGATGAATTTGGATTAGTATGATGCACAGATGAATTCGGAAAAGTATGATGCACAGATGGATTTGGAAAAGTATGATGCACAGATAAATTTGGCTGGAGCTGCTAAAATTATACACGAGACTTAAAAGCATGACGAGATGATGGGATTGACAAGAGCTACAAAAAGCATCAGGGGCTGATGAAGGGCATGGTGAGTTGACAAGATTAGTATCAGACACTGTAAATTGCATCTGCTGATGGAATTGGGCATGAGACGCAAAAGCAATCACACCTTTAAAAAATGACATGCGAACCTAAGAGCATAAGCTACTAAGACTGACATATAATACCGAAGGCTTTTGAATTTGACATAAAACACCAGCAAAATATACGAAACAACTTAAGGATTTTGTTTCCCTCATAAGAGACTGCAGCTGCTGTGAAAATGGTGCAAACAACCAGGAGTGCTGACAGCATCACTGCTGGCTGACTTTCATATGACTGAAAGAGGAAGGAGGGCGTGAAGGTTGAAAATGGCAGAGGGAGGCACTGGCACTATGAATATTGACTGGAAAGGCAACACCGACTAAACTTACAGCATCACTGATGGCCAATTGTCGGATGGTTAAGGAAGCAGTCTGAGGAAGCAAGCAGGGATGCGAATTGGGAGACACTTGGATAATCAGGCAATTCCTGGATTTTCTCAAATCAGTGCAGTTAGGCCTCAAGAAGGGATTTTCAAACATCAACCGTCATGAGGGGTGAAGAGTGGTGAAGCTTGATTGGTTGGTCGTGGAAGGAAAGGAAGTTGAGTGGGCCGGAAGGAGGGGACTTATTAACACAGAATGGAAAGAGCGTTGAAACTTCAAAAGGGCAGAGAGAGAGACACTAGAACTATGAAAACTGATCAACAGGGAAAGACAGGCTAGAATCTCTTGAAGGGTTCAACAAAAAGCAAGTGACGATGAGCAAGGGAGCATGAGCAAGTGAGCATGAGCAAGTGAGCATGAGAAAATGAGCATGAGCAAGTGAGCATGAGCAAGTGAGCATGAGCAAGTGAGCATGAGCAAGTGAGCATGAGCAAGTGAGCATGAGCAAGTGAGCATGAGCAAGTGAGCATGAGCAAGTGAGCATGAGCAAGTGAGCATGAGCAAGTGAGCATGAGCAAGTGAGCATGAGCAAGTGAGCATGAGCAAGTGAGCATGAGCAAGTGAGCATGAGCAAGTGAGCATGAGCAAGTGAGCATGAGCAAGTGAGCATGAGCAAGTGAGCATGAGCAAGTGAGCATGAGCAAGTGAGCATGAGCAAGTGAGCATGAGCAAGTGAGCATGAGCAAGTGAGCATGAGCAAGTGAGCATGAGCAAGTGAGCATGAGCAAGTGAGCATGAGCAAGTGAGCATGAGCAAGTGAGCATGAGCAAGTGAGCATGAGCAAGTGAGCATGAGCAAGTGAGCATGAGCAAGTGAGCATGAGCAAGTGAGCATGAGCAAGTGAGCATGAGCAAGTGAGCATGAGCAAGTGAGCATGAGCAAGTGAGCATGAGCAAGTGAGCATGAGCAAGTGAGCATGAGCAAGTGAGCATGAGCAAGTGAGCATGAGCAAGTGAGCATGAGCAAGTGAGCATGAGCAAGTGAGCATGAGCAAGTGTGCACGAGCAAGTGAGCACGAGCAAGTGAGCACGAGCAAGTGAGCATGAGCAAGTGAGCATGAGCAAGTGAGCATGAGCAAGTGAGCATGAGCAAGTGAGCATGAGCAAGTGAGCATGAGCAAGTGAGCATGAGCAAGTGAGCATGAGCAAGTGAGCATGAGCAAGTGAGCATGAGCAAGTGAGCATGAGCAAGTGAGCATGAGCAAGTGAGCATGAGCAAGTGAGCATGAGCAAGTGAGCATGAGCAAGTGAGCATGAGCAAGTGAGCATGAGCAAGTGAGCATGAGCAAGTGAGCATGAGCAAGTGAGCATGAGCAAGTGAGCATGAGCAAGTGAGCATGAGCAAGTGAGCATGAGCAAGTGAGCATGAGCAAGTGAGCATGAGCAAGTGAGCATGAGCAAGTGAGCATGAGCAAGTGAGCATGAGCAAGTGAGCATGAGCAAGTGAGCATGAGCAAGTGAGCATGAGCAAGTGAGCATGAGCAAGTGAGCATGAGCAAGTGAGCATGAGCAAGTGAGCATGAGCAAGTGAGCATGAGCAAGTGAGCATGAGCAAGTGAGCATGAGCAAGTGAGCATGAGCAAGTGAGCATGAGCAAGTGAGCATGAGCAAGTGAGCATGAGCAAGTGAGCATGAGCAAGTGAGCATGAGCAAGTGAGCATGAGCAAGTGAGCATGAGCAAGTGAGCATGAGCAAGTGAGCATGAGCAAGTGAGCATGAGCAAGTGAGCATGAGCAAGTGAGCATGAGCAAGTGAGCATGAGCAAGTGAGCATGAGCAAGTGAGCATGAGCAAGTGAGCATGAGCAAGTGAGCATTGTCCACACTCCTGCTTTCCACCCTCCCACCATCATGCTGAGATAAGCACGAGCCACTGAGGGCATCATGAGCTGATGTGAGTGGCATGCACCTCATGAGCTAAGGAGCGAATGATGAGCTAATGGAAGGGACATGACAGGGTGAAGCAATGATGAGCTGAGAATAGTCGCATGAGAATCTCCAAGCATGAAGAGCTGATATGAATGGCATGTGGCTCATGAGCTAAGGAGCGGATGATGAGCTAATGATGAGCGGATGAGGAGCGGACATGACAGGGTCAAGGAGTTGACGAGCTGAGAACTGTCGTATGAGAATATTAAAGCATCGTGACATGATTCTGTGAATGGATTGGCATGAAATCGGGAAAGAATGAGGAGGTGATGAAACTGGCGTGCGAATGCAGCATCATATGCTAAAAGAAAAACGATGCAGCATCGTATGCTAGAAGAAAGCATCAGGAGCTGATAAGGAATGGTAAACGCGCATGGAGCTGATAAGACTCTGACGACAAATCTAAAGCCTGATGACATTAGGACGTGATGAAACTGGAATGAAATACTCACCACGCAGCACAAAACTGACAGACAAGAGATGTCAGGAAGGGGTGGGGTAAGTCGAGGGACAATGGAACGAATGCTCAGAACTCCCAACCATGACGTCAGTAAGAAGCGCAGAGGAAGCACGTTGAGATGAGATCATTCAAAGCAGGGGGTACGAGGAGGGGATGCAGAGGGAAAGAAGGGGATCAAAACGGGGTCAAGTCATGACAACAGTCAGCACAAACATTTCCCTTGAATCAGACAGCCAATGGCAGGACCATCAAGTCACTTACACCAGCTTCACCCCTCACCACACGAATACACCCACCAAAACCATTCCTTACTTTCATGCACCACTCAGTCGCTACACACCAGCACAGAAAGCACATCAACAGCATATTCATAAATATAGGATCAAAGCTACAGACCTAGAACATAATCTATGCGACTCTACAACTTGCTACTATTCAAGAACCTAGCATGACGGTGCAGAAGCGAATCCAAGGGAATTCAAGAGCCAGACAGGTGAGCAGCAACGGATCAAACAAAATGCCATCTCATCCCATGCAGCAGCGGATCGAAGGGGATGCTCTTCTCTCATGCCATGCCTCCCCATTCCAGCTCACCACATTCCTCCACCTCTCCTCCCATCTCTCCCACAACACCCTGCAAGCAGGGTGGAAAAAGGGGTAAGTCCCTCCATGCACCTTCCTATAGCCCCCACCAGCCATGCCATCTCACCCACCACTGTCTTCCCTTCGCATCCCCATTGAACACGCCCTAGATCGATTCTGCTGCTGCTGCTGCTGCTGCTGCTGCTTTTTTTTGTGTGTGTGTTTTTTTTTGGCTGCTACCTTCCGTGGCTTGGGAGTGCCTTATTTTTTTCTCCTTTTTATTTTCTTTTCTTTTACGTTTTCACTTTGCTGCTACCTTCCCTGGTTTGGGAATGCCACTCGCAGTCGCTCCAGCTGCGGCCCTCCTTGTTGACACACTGCTTGCAGGTCTCGGGATTCTAGATCCACCAGCAAGACCCGCCTTCGGGCTGTGGGGAGCTGCTGCTGCTGATGCGGCTGCTGCTGCTGCTGGGCTGCTAGCACCTGCAGCCTTCACACCTACCGCGACAGTAGGGCTAGCACGTGTCGCCTTAGCTGGTGTTGCTGGCGTCACCTTAGCTGGCGTCGTTCTAGCTGGCATCGCCTTGGCTGGCGTCGCCTTAGCTGGCGTCGCCTTAGCTGGCATCGCCGTAACTGGTGTCGCCTTTAGTGGCGTCGCCTTCGCTACTAGCGTCGCCTTCGCTGTTAACGCCTTAGGTGGTGTCACCTTAGCTGGCGTGGCTTTGATTGCTGCAGCTGCGACGGTCGCTTGACCGCTGTGCACCGCTCTGGGCTTCACAGCAGCAGCGGTACCCATCACATCCCTGGGCCTGGGCTTCTTGCTGGGCGGCTTAGCCACGGGCTTGGGTCGCAGAGGGGAGAAGCCGAGCGACGCACGGGGGGAGCGCACAGCGCACTGCTCTACCTCGTTAAAGCGTCCCACGCGCACTGCAATCGCGTGCCGCCACGTCTTCAAGATGTTAGCGCGGCGCGCGGATCCAGCAAGTGACGGAGGGAACCGAGATGCCATAGCACTAGAAACGAGAGGTAAATCGCACAGGAGAAACGAGAGCCGAAGCTAGCCGGTGAAGCTGATCGAAGCCTCGAGGAGCTTGAAGCTGAGTCTGAGTGTTGAAGGTAACAGAAAATCGGAACTGCTGGTGGTGGAAATGAAGACGGAGGGTTGGCTTTGTGGTGTTGGGGAGGGAGGAGGAAAGGCGGAGGGGGGAAGGGTGGATGGAGCTCGGGTGGAGAGACGCAACTCTCGAGGCTTCGGCGAAAGCAAAGCCTCCTGCCCGAACGGAGAAGAAAGGCACCCCGAAAAGTGCTCTGGTTCTGCTCTGTACTAGGTACCGAACCACGGAGATTTGGTCAGCCAATAGGAGGAGACCGAGTCTGCTGCTCCAAGACGAACCTCGAAGCTCGGCATCTGGTACGCCAATAGGAGTAGTCCGAGACTGCTGTCCAATCTCGAAGCCCTGCACTTTCGGTTGACGATATTGCGGCTCGTTCATCGACATTCACGGAGTTTCTGGGCAGCAGGCTGAACTGTAGCTGCCCAAATATACGGGTCGTATTTTCCGTGAAGGTCGCCCGCTGCCCGTGGACTAGGAAGCGGCTCGAGCACGAAAATGCTCCTGGTGATTGACTGAATGACGGGTGAAACTGGACGGACTTGCTGCCGTGAGATGAGCTCGAAGCTGCTCGAGAATGTCTCCGTTCCGTCAGTGTGCTTCGTGAACTCTGGAAACTCCGCTTCACAGCGGCGAATGAGTGCGACAGAGACGGACTCCCAGGCAATCAGGGTTCCGATTCGAAATTGAGATTCCAAGGGATGCGTTATGTGCCGATTCGTGTACACTATAATAAGATTGCGTGGAACTCGATAATCGTTATTCTCAGTCCGATTCTTGAAATTAAACAAACCATCTTTGCCTAGGCACATGTCACCACCTTCCCTCATGGTTTTTGTGGTCGTAAATGGTTTGTCACCAAGGGCTAAGTGCCATTGACAGCTTGTCATTTGAGATGAAAATTTGTCTACAATATTTTGTTATGTCTCCAAATATCCGTGGTGCAAAACAAGATACGGTAAGCAAGTATGCATGTTGATATTATTATAGAATTGTATTACCAAATGATCACATGCAATTCTATATTGGTAATCATGTGCACATTTCACACGCACACACGCACGCACACATGCACACACACACTACACACACACACACACACACACACGCACGCACGCACGCACGCACGCACGTACGCACGCACGCACGCACACACGCACGCACACACGCACACACACGCACACACACGCACACACACGCACACACACGCACACACACGCACACACACGCACACACACGCACACGCGCACACGCGCACACGCTCACGCACGCACGCACGCACACACACACACACACACACACACACACACCACCCTCCAAAAGGAAGAAAATGGATTCAAAGAGATACCTGCTGTGATACCCATTGCTACACCTCCCCTGGCCGCATCAAGCTGGTCTCCTCCTTTCCTCGCTGCATCAAGCTGGTCTAACTTCATCAATCTAACTGCAGACTCAACAACTGTCGTTATGTCTTCAAAAGCAGCATCACTTCATTTTAACGAACTGGATTGCTGGTCTGTATAAGCATTCCACTAGTGATTAGCGGACACACATGAAAGACAGCATGTCAGCTGATGTGAATCTGTTCAGAGGCACACAAAGAAAGAAACGGGTACATGCAGGGAGCAAGCGCACATGAGGAGTGGGTGTGCATGGCAGCATGGTATTGAGTGGCTTCTCAGCATGGCATGAGAGTGGCTTCAAGAATTAATAATGATTTTGAAGCAGGGGAGGAATGAGACAAATATATGGTAAACACCAGATCGGATCAGGTCGGGTCGGGTCGGGTGACTTACGAGACACCCGCTGCAGCGATGCTGGTGAGTGACAGAGCAGGCATCTGAGCCAGCAGCGTAACGCAGTTGGCGTAGCGATACACGTTGACAAACTGGCAGTTCCCCGCCCCTCCCGGTGCCCGGTCCACCCGCCAGTACGAGCGCATGTTAAGACCAATTGTCGAAGGCAGGTTGGTGCATCCAGTGTTTCTCACACGCATGGTGTATGTGTAGGGCGTCAAGGCAAACCCCGGCTGGTTGTAGAAGGTAAGACTTGCTGACGACACGGTAGGGAGGGCGCCTGAAAGACAAACAGAAAGTGGGAGAACAGAAGAGCAGGGTATGGGGTTTGGCATGGGGTATGGGGCATGGGGTTTGGCATGGGGTATGGGGTTTGGCATGGGGTATGGGGTTTGGCATGGGGTATGGGGTTTGGCATGGGGTATGGGGTTTGGCATGGGGTATGGGGTTTGGCATGGGTTTGAATGTGCGAGCACAATGGACTTCCCACGTACGCAACCAGTGGGGGGGTTGTACCATAGCCAGAAGGGACGCAGTAAAGAGAGGTAAGGTTGGTTTTGAGGCGTCGCACATGACCTACCACGTGACTGCCTTGACGTGACTTATTTCGCGTGACTTACCACGGACGCAGCCAGTGGGGGTCATGCCTAAGCCAGAAGGGCAGACGCAGTAAGGAGCCTTTCTGGTGGAGGAGACCAGCGTGCATGTGGCGAGGGACGGACAGTTGCCACACGTGGCCGGCCCTGGTGAGCGCAGGGTGGGGAAGCAGAGTGCAAAAGAAGGAATATTTGAGGGCGATAGGAGAGCAGGTAGAGTTGAAGGGGCCAGAAGGGCAGACGTAGTAAGGAGCCTTTCTTGTAGGCGAGACTAGAGTGCATGTGGCTAGGGACGAACAGATGCCACATATGGCAGGCCATGGTGAGTGCAGCAGGGTGGAGAAACGAAGTGAAATTTGGAGTGCGGTGATAGCAGGTAGAGTAGAAGGGGAGAAGCTTAGTGCTTGGACTGGGCTGGGTAGAAAGGGGAGAAGGGGACAGCAATTTAAAGAATAAATGGCAGCATGCAACAAAGCATAGTACAATGAGCACAACGCAAAGGGTGATAGAGAGGCATGTAACAGCACGGGAATACGGAGGGGGGGGGGGGGGGGGGGGGGGGGGGGGAGGAGGGGGGGACATAGAGCAGGCAATCATAGTGAGTGCGGGAAAAACGATGCAAAGGAGGAAGCGAGGATGGAGTGAGAGGGGATGCGGGGGGGATGGGATGGTGTGGGGGGGAGAGGAGGTGAGGTTGTAATCCATCCAAGGGTATCAAAACAGAATTACATAACCAACATAAGAGCCGTAGACACAGAATTAGGTACCAACACAGGTACCGTAGAGCAGAGTGCAGCCTGGCTTTTGAGATTCAAGGGCTTCAGAAGTAAGAGATAGCACTACGTACCAACACAGGTGGCATAGAGCAGCGTGTAGCCTGGCTTGCACACACAGTACGCCGTGCCGTCTTCTGAGCGCCTCAAGAGACAGCACTACGTACATACCAACACAAGTGCCATAGATTCAGAATTACATACCAACACAGGTGCCGTAGAGCAGCGTGTAGCCTGGCTTGCACACACAGTACGCCGTGCCATCCTCGTACTTCATACAATCCGATGTGAGCGCCTGGCACCTCTTAAGGATGCAATTGTCTGGAGGGAAGGGGGTTGCGGGGGAGGGGGTTGCGGGGGAGGGGGTTGCGGGGGAGGGGGTTGCGGGGGAGGGGGTTGCGGGGGAGGGGGTTCGGGGGGAATAAATGAGCATGGGGCAAAGGAGTAAGCTGTGAGCAAGAAAGGAAACAAGGATCATGAGAGGAAAAGGTAGAGGGAAAGGAAAAGATCGAGGGAACGGGAAGAGGGAGAGAGGAAGGGCACACAAAGGACACGGAACGCACAGCAGCAACACACTGATGGACGGACGCAACAGGCACAGCAGGGCACAGCATGGCACAGCAAGGCACAGCGTCCTTACCCATGCACGTCCTGCCGTCATCTTGCAGCGTGAAGCCAATGTCACACACACACGACGCCGTCCCCGCCTCATCCTTCACACAGCGACCGTTCTCACCACATGCCTGCAGTTTGCACGTGTCTGCCAGGAGAGGGGAGGAGTCACAGGGTCAATAAATGCAAAACATTTGGAAGAAATTAAATTATTTGAACAAACGTGAATGGAATTGGGAAAGAGGGTACAGCACGCAATCGTGGCAGCACACAAGAGCCTTACCTTTCCGCGCCATGCCATCATTCTGCTGCAGATGAAGAGAGCATTAACTGCGCGGCGGACATGGCATCAAATCATCCAGCACCAAACCACAGAAACGTTTGTCGGCACGACACGGCACAGCACGGCACAGCACAGCACAGCACAGCACGGCACGGCACGGCACGGCACTGCACTGACCAACACAGCCGCTCAGTCATGGCGTAGCTGTTTTGAGACGTTTCAAAACGTAGCATCGCCGGGATAAGCAGCACGGGGATAAGCAGCACGGGGATAAGCAGCACGGGGATAAGCAGCACGGTCCAACACAGCCGCTCTCGGTCAAGGCGTCGCCCCAGGCCCAGTTGCAGCGTTTGGAGTTAGACTCGAAACAAACCACAGAAACACATTTTTCACGATGGCAGCACTGACCAACACAGCACAACCACTCACCAACACAGCCGCTCTCGGTCAAGGCGTAGCCCCAGTTGCAGTGGCAGACTGCGAGATCCTGCTCCTTCTCACAGTACCCGTTCTCCCCACAGTCCCTTATCGCACACGAGTCTGTTGGGTTGGGTTCACACACACACACACACACACACACACACACACACACACACACACCACACACACACACACACACAGAACGAAAGAAGGCACATGGCCGGTGGGAACGTGCATGACAGGACGTGCATTGAGGATTCTTGAGGGAGCAAATATCGTTTCGAGGAAGGGAAGCAACAATGATGGTTGATACAGGCACATTCAACTCGTGCGCGCAGGATGAATTGGGCAGCAGCTCGAGGCCCCTTTCGCACACGCAGTTGGCCCAGCCTCATTTTGAGGCGCCTCGAAATTGGAAGCAAGCAGCATGGGTGAAGGCACTCACGCGTGCAGAAGGCATTAGGCAGCAGCTTGTGGCCTCTCTCTCACAGGAAGTTGGTGATTAAAGGTTTGTTTTGAAACGTCTCAAAACAAGCGACGGCACTCACGCGTGCATGATGCATCGGGCAGCGGTGGTTATGGGTTGAAGCAAGGGTGGGTGAAGCAAGGGTGGGTGAAGATGAAGGGTGGGTGAAGATGAAGGGTGGGTGAAGATGAAGGGTGGGTGAAGGCACTCACGCGCGCAGGATGCATTGGGCAGCAGCTTGAGGCCCCTTTCACACACGCAGTTGGCCCAGCCTGCCTCGTTCTTCAGGCACCTCGCGTTGGGGCCGCAGTTGCGTACCGTGCACACGTCTGCACTCACACACGTGGGGGCAGAGACAGGCACGTGGGCGCAGAGACAGGCACGTGGGGGCAGAGACAGGCACGTGGGGGCAATCCTGCATGCGAATCCAATCATTCTGACAGCACGACTTTGAGTCGAGTCAAAAGCAAGCCTGCATGCGAATCCAATCGTTCTGACAGCACCAGCACAGCACCCACCAACGCAGTTGCCCTCGGCGTCCTTCTCTTGGCCCCGCGGGCAGCGGCGGTTGCTGGCAGCAGGTGGCAGCACGACGGCTGGAGCCCTGGGCGCATTCTCTGCGAGACACCATGGGGAGGAGACGGGGGGCAGGGAGGAGGAGGACAAGATAGAAGGAGGTGACTTTTGAGTCAACTCAAAAATCACCGCGAGACACCATGGGGAAGAGACGGGGGACAGGGAGGAGGAGGAGAAGATGGAAGGGTGGCGGGTAGAGCGTTTCTGAGAAGCCCAAAGACACGAACATAATGAATAGCCATAGCAGCAAAGAACAGAAGCATGGCAACAAACAAAAGCCTTACCAGCACATCACTTGCCATGACAGCAGCCTTACCAGCGCACGACTTGCCATCGTCTCGCAGCGTGAAGCCAGCGTCACACACACACGACGCCGCCCCCTCCTCGTCCTTCACGCACTGGCCGTTCTCACCGCACTCCAGGAGCACACACGTGTCTGCCAGGGGAGGGAGGAGTGGCGGGAGCGGGGAAAGACAAAAAATAAGAAAAAGTAAAGAAAGAAGCAACACCGAGATGAATGAGAAGGGAATAATACGAGAATATCAGCAACGCAATCAAAGCACACATGGTAGTGGCAGCACACAGCACATGGGCAGCAGCAGCAGCACACAACACATGGGCAGCAGCAGCAGCAGCACACAGCACATGGGCAGCAGCAGCAGCACACAGCACATGGGCAGCAGCAGCAGCACACAGCACATGGGCAGCAGCAGCAGCACACAGCACATGGGCAGCAGCAGCACACACCTACCTGTGCATGCCCTGCCATCCTCTTCCCTGCCCTGTACAAAGCCAAGGTCACAAACACGGGAATGCCATCGCAGCGTGACTCATCAGGACAACACGGGATAGCAAGCAGCACGGGATAGCAAGCAACACGGGATAGCAAGCAGCACTGACCAACACAGCCGTCCGCGGTGTTGGCAAAGCCAGTGTTGCAGCGACACGTGGTGCGGCCCCCCTGCTCCTCCTCACAGTACCCGTTCTCCCCACAGTCCGCACTCGTGCAGGTTTCTGCCAGGTTCACACAGCAGCACGAGAGGGCGGACAGCAGAGTAAGCACAGGAGAATAGGAATGGGAAAAAAAAAGTTGGAGTGGAAAGGTTTGAAACGAGGGGCAGCAATGGCTTAGGTGTCACACGCAAGGAAACAAGGGCGACAGTAGGTCATGTGCTGGACGCTGGATTGGGCAGCAGCGGGTGTAAAAAGCAACAACGGTGGGTGAAGGTGAAGGGTGGGTGAAGGCGAGCTCACGCGCGCAGGAGGCGTTGGGCAGCAACTTGAAGACTCTGTCCTGTCACACACGCAGTACCTTTTGAGAAATCTCAAAGGTAAGGCACTCACGCGCGCAGGAGGCGTTGGGCAGCAGCTTAAAGCCCCTGTCGCACACGCAGTCCGCCCAGCCCGCCACGCTCTTGAGGCACCTCGCGTTGGCGCCGCAGCTGCGGTCCGTGCATGCCAGGCGCAGGGCCTCCGCCGCCCTGGGCGCACACGCTGGGGGAACCCCGGGGAAGAGAAGGGGAAGGGTTGGGGAGGGGGTGGGTGGCTTTTGAGGCGCCTCAAAAGCAGCTGCGGTCCGTGCATGCCAGGCGCAGGGCTTCCGCCGCCCTGGGCGCACACGCTGGGAGACACCGGAGAGGGGTAGGGGTTGCGGGGAGGGGTGGGAACGGGTGGGAAGGGGTGGGAAGGGGTGGTAAGGGGTGGTAAGGGGTGGAGGAGGTGGAGGAGATGGTCAAGATGGAAGGTTGGAGGAGAGCTGGCGATGCTACGGCTTACGAGGAACTACGTAGGCATGTATGTGCAATAATAGCTGTTTGTAAATTCTGAAAAAAAAAAAAATCAAACAAACAAACTAACTAACTAACTAACTTACTTACTTTACAAGCGCAGATAGCTGTTCGCAAGGCCGGTGAGAGAATGAGCATACCTGAGAGCATGAGAGCAGCCAGCACAGCAGCGAGCACAAGCCTGAGGCCAGAGCGTCGCATCCCAGCGACGTCGCACGCAGCCATGGCTGATCTTTCTGGATTCTCGAAAGCGAGAACTCGCGAAAAACGCGGCCCAGAGAGGTCCTTGAGAAGGTGCTTAACGGTTGAAATCGGTCAAGCAGGAAAGGTGGAAAGGAAAGATTTGTGGACCGGAATGATGATGGGTTTAGTCCCATCGCTAAAATACTTCCACCGCCGGGCTCAGTCCCGCCTCCTGGGCTGGCAGAGTACGCTCAGCCCTAGATGCCACCTAGGCTGCCGGATTCCGCGGTTGGAACTCCGCCCTTCCGCCCTCCCTTTGCGGGTGCAATAGTAGCGCTGCACGCAGTGACCAATGGCAGGCATCCCCGGGGCTCTTGCGAATCGGTTTTATCCAATGTTAGAGCAGCACGCGGCATGACGCAATCCAAACAGTTCAGAGACGTCGGGTTCACGTCGACCGTCAAGCTCCAAGAAACTTGGAGGGCGGCAATTTCGGATTCCCCAAGAACATCACTTGGAATCTTAGCATTGTTCACGTTTCTGTAGCCGTCCTTGACGGCATTCGTGAACGATACTGTACTACTGTACTGTACTGGCGCTACCGTCCTACCGCCACGCGGAAGATATGCACTAGCCCGGCTTGAGCTTGAGCCATGAATCTTCGATGTCTACAATACCCAGGATGCTTCTACTAGATGATTCCGGCACGCGGAGGAACGCTGGGCGGTGAGCACTCGTTTTGGGCTCAATTCTTCGGAACGGAATCACTGGATGACGTGGCGCGCCCTCCCCGGCATTTAGTCAAAACACAAGACTTCACCGGCCCAACCCCAGACCTCTCGTGGCCTGCTTGACGAATTTGACGTGCGCTGAACAGTCGCCGACCTCCCCTAACCTAACATACTGCAGTAATAGAAGCACTGGTCCATGACTTGACAGGTCGTTCCCAACGATTCGTAGATTTTTTTTTTGCATCCCGACGCACTCATTGGTGGTGTCCATACAAATCTACGACTCAGAAGGACGGTCAATAAATTTTGACTCTTGCGACAAATTCGAGCTAACTGTTCGCACAAGAGGCAAAAGCGGACACAGTCACTAGCTGTCCAGGCGGAAGGGTCTCGGTGATGTTCTGCTGCGCCAATACTGTACACGTTGCTGTCTTTTATCACCGCACGAAAATCGCGCAGCAGGAGATTCTAAGCTGAACACAAACACTGTACATCGGGCACAACCTCCCCAAAAGACGGCCCAAAAGACGGCAGGTTTGCTAGTGCCATGGTACGGTATGGCGGTATGGTATTGTGCTGAATGGTGTTTGAGTTTGAGTGACGACCAACCTTCGAGTTGCTGTCGGATTCGCAGTCAGCAAGGACAGAACGGAACGGGTATGAAACAATGGAAGATGAAGGGAAGATGAATGGAAACGAATCTGTGCCACTCTAATTGTGTGGTTTCAATCAATCCAACGGATAACGGAAGCCCAAGCCCAATGGGTGCCGCACATCTCAGCAATCTAGAAGCTGCTTCAACGTTGAGGGTCGTCCTCCTGACGTGTCCTGTCTTGTTGCGACTATTCCCGCTTCTGTATTGACACAAACAGTCGCAAGCCAATCGGGGTTGCCAATCAATCTTTTTGCCGTATCTCGCAGAATGGCAACGGCTAGCGACGATTCGTGCCTGCTCGCGAAATATGAATGTGCGTCTGGTTACTCATCTATGTCATTGTTGTTGAGACATGATTACTGTTACTCAACCTTACCAGAAATGTTGCAAAAACATCTTGGAAAAAACATATACATCATTATCAACCGAGACAGATCCCAATTCTTCAACTACAATGGCCAAGCCTTGTCATGGCGTGAATTTTGAGTACACTATGGCTCCGCCCTGGGGCTTTATTGGACAATATCCAGCCAGGTTGATGAACCTCCAACCAACCATGCCAGATCCCATCGATTCTACTACGGTGGTCAAACCTTGTCAGGACTCAGTACAGCCATAGCAGCAGCAATGATTACAAGTTACAACCATAGCTTCATGTCTCGAAGACGAACTTCTTGCTGCCTGCCATCCTCCCCACAGCTCACCTGCACGGCCACTATCTCCTTTCTATGCGCCTCCAGCCATGCCCTATCCCCCACCGCCTTCCACCCAGGCGGGAATAACTGCTCTGGCAGCACCCCCACGCTTGCTACACTTCGCCCCTCTCCTGTATCCTCTGTGCCTCCTCCCGTACCTGCTTCCGTACCACCTCCCGGACCTCCTTCCGAACCTCCACCGAAACTATCCTCTTCGACTCCCACGAGCCTCGCTCCCCGAACCATCTCAGCCACGGCGTGATTCAGCGCCGTGCTAAGAACCTCCGAACCAGAAAACACACCTGAACCACCCCTTGCTGCTGCCGCACCTGCTGTCACATACCCCCTTAAAGCCCCAACAGCCCAGCGTTGCACCATGGCTTGCACAGCAGGGGAGGGGCGAAGAGCCATGAGCCATGGGGAGAGGGACCCTAGCAAGGCTGGTGTGAGGGCGGTGGTGTTGGCGGGTGCAGGGGCCGCTGCCTGCTGCTGCTGTGGCGGCGGCTGGTCTTGGTGGGAGAGGGAGGGCAGCATGAGGGAGTAGCTTGGCGGGAAGTAGCGGCGGGGGTCGCGCAGCCACACTGAGTTGATGTCGCTGGGAGGCGGGGAAAGCGAAGGGTGGGTGGGAGGGGGAATGGAAGAGAGGAGAATGAGGGAAGGGGAGAACGACCAAGTATGAGGGGAAAATTGGTCACAGAATGAAGAAAGGACAAGAGAGTATCATGGAGAATGGGCGAGCACCATGCAGGCACTGCTAGTCAATTCTGTGGGAACGCACACGCCTGTAGAAAATAGTATAATTAATTTCAGCTCTTTTGAGAATTTACACTTATAATAATGTTAATAAAATGAAAAACGATGATAATAAGAATGACGACGATGATAATAATAATAATAAGAATGATAATTGAACAAAAAAGGGGCAGCCAGCAGGCGGGCAAGATGAGGGGAACAGGATGTGAATATATTTGCACACTGTACCTGTTCCAGTGTCAGCACTCTAGCACCTGTACCTGCTGTGCTCTTGTGCTGTACCTGTAGAGGACAATCACATTGGCAGCCAGCAGGCGGGCGAGGATGAGGGGAACATCAGGTGCTCCTAAGTAACACCACTGTGCACTGCTCCCTGCATTGCTCACTGCACCTGTTGTTGTAGCAGCACTCTAGCATCACTGTGCACTGCTCCCTGCATTGCTCACTGCACCTGTTGTTGTAGCAGCACTCTAGCATCACTGTGCACTGCTCCCTGCATTGCTCACTGCACCTGTTGTTGTAGCAGCACTCTAGCATCACTGTGCACTGCTCACTGCATTGCTCACTGCACCTGTTGTTGTAGCAGCACTCTAGCATCACTGTGCATTGCACGCTGTACCTGTAGACGACGGTCACATTGGCAGCCAGCAAGCGGGCGAGGATGAGGGTTGGCAGCAGCAGGCACGTGGCTCTGGCCACTCGAGGCGACAAGCTCTCACTGGAGCGAGTGATCACATGCCCCCCAGGTGTGTGCATCTGCGAGGAGAGTCACACACACAGGAACAGGAAAAAGGCAGGAAGAATCATTGAGCGGCCACTTGAGGCGACAAGCTTTCACTGGAGCGAGTGGTCACATGGCCGCCTGGCGTGCTCATCTGCATGTTCAGTTGAGGGGGGTGTTGAGACGAGACAGGAGAAGAGGGGAAGGTCACATCACGCGGCGAAGTAATCATGTGGCCCCCTGGCGTGCGCATCTGCAAGGAGGGGTTGAGCTGAGGAGACTAGACTAGAACGGCACTCAGCAGAGGATGCGAGATTGAGAATGGCACTCAGCAGAGGGTGCTAGATTGAAAACGGCACTCAGCAGAGGGGTGTGTCTGCGATCTACAGCAATGAGGCGAGGCGAGTGGGAACTGGCTGGAGTGGCACTCACTCACTCACTCACTCACTCACTCACTCACTCTCTCCCTTCAACCTGAGGCGTGAGAAGGGAGAAGGGCGCCCTCACTCTCTCACTCACTCTCACTCTCACTCACCTGAGGAGGCACAGAAGCAAGGACGATATTGCCGAGAGAAGGAATGCGGCCCATATGGGTGAACCAGTTGCGGAATAATGCCTCCTGGCCTGATGGGAGTGGTGGGGGAAGGAGAGGGGATGGTGGGGAATCAGGGATGCGGCCCACGTGGTTGAAACCAGTCGCAGAATAATGCCTCCTGGCCTGAGAGGTTGCAGAATAACGCCTCCTGGCCTGAGATGTTGCGGAATAACGCCTCCTGGCCTGAGAAGGCCTCCTGGCCTGAGAGGGCCTCCTGGCCTGGAAAAAAAAGGGGACGATGGTGGGGGGATTAGTTGTTCAGGCATGGGGAGGGACGGGTGAGGCAGGAGCAAGAGAGGCTGGTAAATGGAGTGATGCGGCCCACGTGGGTGAGACAGTTGCGAAGCAGCGTAGCGCCCCCTGACCTGTGGTGGGGGGGCGATGGTGGGGAATGAGGCGTGGCATGGGATGGGCGAGGCAGCAACAAGAGGGTGGTACCATATAAGAGGGAGGAGGGAGGAAGTGATGCGGCCCATGTGGGTGAGGTGAGGCAGTTGCGGAGTAACGCATCCTCGCCTGAATCATGCATGCTGCATGCACCTCCCTGCACCTCCCTGCACCTTCCTGCATCTCCCTGCATCTCCCTGCATCTCCCTGCATCTCCCTGCATCTCCCTGCACCTCCGTGCACCTCCCTGCATCTCTCCCACCCATGCATGCCACCACCCACCCACAATACAAGAAAAACCTATCTAACAGCAACGCACAATTGCAGGCAACAGTGACGATCACCATGCCAGCAGCGCCCTTGATCCGCACCCCCTTCCCCTCCAACTCCCCCAGATGCTCCCCCACCCACAATCTAGCGAATCATCTCTCTAACAAACAGCAACGCACCATCGCAGGCAACTGTAACAATCACCATGCCAGCAGCGCCCTTGATCCGCGTCCCCTTCCCCTCCAACTCCCCCAGATGCTCCCCCACCCACGGCTCCACCGCTCCCAACACCTCCGCCTCCCAATCCACCCCTCCCTCCCCACCACTCCCCCCTGACGCTCCCCCTCCCCCTCCTGCCAGCGCCTCCCCCACCCGGGCCTCCCCCCCCTTGCCCTCCTTTCCCCCTGCGCTGCCCTCCTCTCTCCCCCTCTTCAGCATCCCTGGGATTTCATCGTAGCTGTCCTGCTCTCCGGCATCATCTGGGCGTCTTGGCATTGGGAACAGCAACACCGGCTCTTCCTCCTCATCCTCCTTCTCCTCTTCCTCCTCATCCCCTTCTACTACTCCTGCCTCCTTATCACTATCTCCTTCCCCCTTCCCACCAGCAGCAGCAGCAGGAACCCCAAAAGAAGCAGCAGCAGCAGCAGCCGTCGCATTACCCTGCTCTTTCACACGCCACAGACCCGCCTTCTTCAACCCCTTGATCTTCGCCACTTTCCCAGTCAAATAATTTGCATGCACCATCACCACTCTTGGCCTTACCTCCTCAAACTTCCCCCAGTGTTCATTCATCAGCTGCCCGGACGGGAACTGCAGCGGCGGCAGCACACCAATCCGAGGCAGCACCTTCCTCTCTAGCATCCACTGCATGACCAGGTTCAGCTGATCTTGATCCAAACCCCCCTGCCGGCCTAGTTTCGCCATTCGATACGCCCAGTTGCCCACGAGGCTTTTGGCGGGGAGGGTGGGGCGGAAGAAGAGGAAGCAGCTGCAGAAGAGGGGGAGGCCGTTGAGGAGGTTGGGGTCGATGGGGTCTGTGTAGGGCGACGGCTGGCTCATGTAGCGATCGTGCGTGATGAACATGTCGAAATCGGTAGTAGTTTCGGCAGCAGGCGCATCTAAGCCACTGCCATTGTCGCTGCTGCCGCCGCCACTGCTGCTGCTGATAGGGTTTCGGAGGGACGAGGAGGGAAGGGGATGGTCGGGTTTTTGGAAGAAGGGGTGGGGGGGTCGCTGTAAATTACTTTTGAGGCGCCTCAGCATGCACAGATGACTTTTGAGTCGCCTCAAAAGTCAACTCGGGTTTTTGGAAGAAGGAAAGCGGGTTGTTGAGAAGAGCGGGTTGTTGAGGAGAGCGCTGTCAATGTCGCTGGAAAGCACTTTTGAGGCACCTCAACACGTACAGGGAATCCAAACGAGAGGAGGTGATTGTGGATTCAACTTCAAAGTCCCTCCTTCCCAAGGCAACGAAGTGCACTTATAGCATACAAGAAGAGCGGCAAATGTGAAGTTGAGAAAAAAAAAAAAAAAAAAAAAAAAAACAAAAACAAAAACAAAAACAAAAACAAAAACAAAACAAAAAAACAAAACAAAAAAAACAAAGCAAAAAAAACACGCTTCAAGCAACCAAAGCAAGAAAAATGGAAACTCCTTTTCTGCAAAAACGTCATCAAAACCCGCAAAAAAAAAAAAAAAAAAAAAAAAAACCCTCAGCTGCAGCAGAACCTTACTTACACGACGCTATTAGCATCAGCGGGTTTTTGGAAGAAGGGGAGGGGGTTGTGCAGGAAGGCGATGTCGATATCGCTGTAGAGCACGGAGAAGCCAAAGGAGAGGAGGTGGTGGATGTAGATGGCCCTGTGGGATGCCACGCGGTGAAAGGCTGCTGACCCGATGACCGATGCCCCCTCCACGTCCGCCCTCTCCTCTTGACCAAACTGTCCGCTCAGGTCGAGGTGTATGGCCTGGAATTGAGGGATGTGAGATGAGAGGGTGGGGGTTGTGAGGGAGTGTGAGATTGGGAGTTGTGAGAGAGGGAGGGGGTCGAGAGCAACGGCCTGCAGGAACGGGGAGGGTGGAAGGGAGAGCAAGGAGAAGCCAAGGAGAGGAGGTGGTGGATGTAGATGGTGCGGTGGGAGGCCACGCGGTGAAAGGCGGCTGACCCGATGACCGATGCCCCCTCCACGTCCGCCCTCTCCTCTTGACCAAACTGCCCGCTCAGGTCCAGATGAATGGCCTGCAGGCATGGGGAGGAGTGAGATGGGGAGGCGGTTATAAGGGGTTGGATGGGTTGGTGTGGGGGGCGGGGGGGGTGCCAATTTGATGCGCAATGCCCCCTCCATGACCGCCCTCTCCTCTTGCCCAAACTGCCGGACAGGTCGAGATGCATGGCCTGCAGGCATGGGGAAGTGTGAGGGGTGGGTATACGGGGCATGTGTGGGTATGAATGGGGGTGGGGTGGGGGGTTGTGTTGGCCCAATGTGTGATGCCTCCAAGTCTGCCCTCTCCTCTTGACCAAACTGCCGGCTCAGGTCGAGATGAATGGCCTGTGGGAATGGGGAGGGGCGAGAGGAGGAGGGTATAAGGGGGATAATAAATTGGTGGGGCGGGGGATTTATGCCAGTCTGATGCATAATACCTACCCCCTCAACATCCAACCTCTCTCTCAGAAAGTCACGATAGGAAGCAGTGAGAGACTATACATATAGCCTTGTAGACTTGTTTTTTATGCGTCTAACTATATACATTCAGATATATAGTTAGACGCATAAAAAACAAGTCTACAGAAAAATTGTAAAGGCAGGCTCCAAGATCGGAGGCATGGGAGGGGAGAAGGAAGATAGCGGCAAGAGAAGGCTAAGAACGGGAAAGGCAACTGACCTGTCCTCAGCGGCAACCCTGACTGAACTGAGCAGAATAAACCTTGACTTGAACCATCCAGTTGCAAGTTACCAGTAACAAGTTTCCAGGAACCAGTTACCCGGTTACCATTTTTTGCAGGTGTCAGAACGACTCACCTGGCCAGGCCATTTGGAGTGGGCGAACTCGAGGCTCTTGCTGTCAGCGGCAAAGACTATGAAGTGGCGGCCCAGCCCCACCCGCTGCAGATGCACTTGACATCACCCAAAGAAGCTGAGCTGAGCTGAGCTGAGCAATACAAACCTTAAGCTGTCTGGCCAGGCCATTTGGCCAACAGTAACCAGTTGCTACTTTCTAAACGACTCACCTGGCCCGGCCATTTGGAGTGGGCGAACTCGAGGCTCTTGCTGTCAGCGGCAAAGACTATGAAGTGGCGGCCCAGACCCACCCGTTCCAGATGCAGCACCCAGTTCTCCAGCATGTCCTCATAGCCTGCAGTGGCACAGAGTGATGAGAAACAGGGTAACAGGGTAATAAGGGTAACATGGATGGATTTAACGCGTTCGGACGCAGCACCCAGTTGCCCAGAATATCTTCAAAGCCTGGGCGCCAAGGTGGCACGGTGATGGGTTAACAGGGTAACAGTAAACACAACGCCTCAGGTGCAACTCAACGAGGTAGGTAGGGGGGTCATCGATCGAGGCCTTCAGATGCAGCAGCACCCACCCAGCTCTCCAGTATGTCCTTGTAGCCTGGTCGCCGCAGTGGCACAGTGACAGGGTGACAGGGTAACAGGGTAACAGGTTAACATTGAAGTGAACACAAAGTCTACAGGTGCAACCCCACGAGCAAAGGGGAAGGGTGATCGTGATTCAACGCCTTGAGATGCAGCACCCACCCAGTTCTCTGACATGTCCTCATAGCCCGCGTGCCAGCCCGGTGGCACAGAGCAGCACAGTGACAGAGTAACAGGGTAAAAGGTTTACACTGAAATCAAGGCCTTCAGATGCAGCACCCAGTTCCCCCCGGCATGTCCTCGTACAGTTACAGGGTGACTGTGTACCAAGGCAAAGGGGAGGGACTGGCACGGTCACATGGTGACAGGGTAACCATGTAACCGGATATGGGAAGTAGGGAAGTGTGTGAGAAGGGTAACAGGGCAGAGGGAGGGCAGGGGCAATTCAACGGATCCAGGTGCAACGTCCATTTCCAGTGTGGCCTCTCATCCTGTGATACATGATGGCGTAACAGGGTAACAGGACAATAGGGTAACATGGTAACCAAGCAACAGGATATCTGTGTTACAGGGTAACAGGACACCTGGGTAACAATGTCGCTTGTATGCATGGTAGTAGATAGATCGTAGCTAGATCATAAGCACCCGGAGAACAGAGGATGAAAATCTCCCATATTTTCCAACTGTATCATCACACCAGGAATAGTGGTTGAGCAGCATCATGCAGAGCACAGCACAAGCACAAGTAACGGGAAGGCAACAACTCTCCTGGTCCAATCCTACAATCATTATATGTAAGTTGTAACGAGGGCCACTAGCGCGATTGTGGAGGGTTTTGCTAAAACTTGCCCAAACGATATCCATTCTATGGCATACCTGCATTCGAGGACGCGATAATGACAGTTCCGTTAAGCGAGACGCGGCTGGCCATGTCCCATAGCGCGCCGAGCTTCTCGTGAAGATCGCTGAGGCCGTTTCCTGCCAGGCGACGACGGACTGGCTCGCGAAGGGGTTCGCGGAAGGTTTTGCGAGGTTCGGCGAAGGAGCATGCGACAAAATGGCTGCCGAGAAGAATTGCGAGGAGGAGGACGAGAGAGGAACGGAAGAGGCGTTGACATGAGAACGGTGACAGTCTCAGCGCACGTGGGGGATTTCGTATGGCTGACGGATCAACTCCGACACGTGTCAAGCGTCGTGTAGAGAGTTCTGGCGCGAATGAAGTGCGCGCTTGTCGTCCTTGAGTCCATTTCGTTGCAGGTGTTTTTTCAGGTGACTTTTGAGTCGACTCAGAACGTGTCCACCTGAGAATTGTAAAAAAACATCCGCAACGGGAATGACGTGCGCCCTTGGCCTTGAGCCGGCGACATCCGTGTCACGCCTGAACTCAGACGTAGCAACCTGTGCGTAGCAAAGACAGTTGATTGAATCGTAGCCGTGGAAAGTCCCTTCTCTCGACTATCTCGGGCTGCGGTTTCACTACTACAATGAACGCATCAGCTGTTCGCGGTAACGCGTATGGAACGGTTACCTCGTGAGGAAAGCGCGCCTCGAGGCACGTGACATATTTCGCTCTAGATGATGACGATGGCAAGGTACGCCGTGATTGGCGGCGGCTGGCGGTTGTCGCTCTTCAACCAGCCAGATAAAGCGCGAGCAGATCACCAACGGTCACTGTTGGTGTGGTTGGTGGGCTGGGTTATCTCAAATTGGTTCGCCACCGTTCTGAACCCATGCGAAATTCCTCCGTTCCACACTGTTTCGGGTGGGGAACATGTGCGCGCACAACCGGCGTACTGTACAGTGAACTCGTACGAGTTCATTACACATTCGCAATCGAAGCATTGTCAACGAGTGTCGAGCAGGGCTCACGATGGCAGAACAGGGTGTACAGTACATCCGGAAGTTCGTGAAATCGACGATTTCGCCTCAACTTTCGCACCACCTTCTAGGGACTTCGCAATCCAACCGTACCTCGAGGTTCAGTTTGCGAAAATGAAGCCTCTGTAATCGTTTCGTCAACGCCGCTTTGCTTTGCGATTACGAGTTGTATTGCGATATTCACGTTCCCAGCTCAGTCGGTTCTTGGTACGCATCGGAACGCCAGAATTTCCTCCGTCCCTGTGCACATCATATCCTCCTTCATACCCCACCCCACCCCACCCCACACCCCACTGAACAGTACTCTGTGGAATTTGCCAGCTACAATTGATGCCCGTTTGAGCCCCTCCCGGTTGCCTGTGAAGGGGGTATGTAAGCTACACCTTCATTTCGTGGGCTGTTCGTATGTTTCGTTACACCTTATATGTGCATCAATGCAGATACTGGTAACCACCCGTTTTGTCTGATTCGTAACAGTAACAGTTGGCACTCCTTGTCATTAGTGTGTGTTTTTGGTTACCTTACGATTGCAAGAACAATCCACCCTCCATCCACATCAAATGTTTAACTTAGTAAGAAACATACAAACCAGTCGAACCTCCAATAAAAATCTCCCACCTGGCCCCCACCGTCAATTGTGTGCAGCACAGAGAATCATTCACAAAGGTTCACAAGGAGTGAACACACGAGCACATCAAAGAGCCTTTTGCTCTTTCGGGGGGGGGGGGGGGTCAAATTCAATCACAGACGCATCCACTCCGCCGCGTCTGTGTACACGCCCATCACGGCGCCAACCCCGGCGTCCAGCAGATGCTGACGGCGGGAAGGCTGGGTCATCCAGCCATGCAGCACTCGGCCACGCGGACGCAGGGAGTCAGGCGTCGGTGTTGCGCCTGGCGTGCGCGCCACCGACGGGGTCACGTTGAGATTAATGGGCGGGCTCGCCCGCTCCATGCGCGCAATGATCACCGGGTTGCAGATGTCGAAAAGGTGGCACAGGTCGCGCGGCTGGATGCTGATGGCGCGCGCATAGCCAATGAGCATCTCGCACGCCGCTTGAGCCGTGCGACGCGCTTCACGGCTCACGGGGTCAGCATCCTCATACACGGCCTGCATGGTGGGGGTCGCCTCCTACATTTCCACCCCCCAGCCCGCACCCGGCTCAGTCGGATCCGCCGCGCCTTCGGCGCACGTCGGCTCACCATCGTCGATGGCCACGTAATCAGCCGCGGACATCGCCCCAGGCCCGAGACGAAGCCCAGAGATGAGAGTCCCGACGTCGCCTATCTCGTCATCAAGCTCGATATCGGGATAGGCGGACGGGGTGGGCTCGTCGTCATGCACGTGCGGCAGCTCCATGGCCCACGAATGCGGGAGGCACCCCGTACGCCACCAGCACCGCTGGATGGTGCGCGGACCGATGCCTGTCCACGCGTCCGAGAGCCACGCCAGGACGTCGCGCAGATTCGGGCGAAACCGCGCGGCGGAGCTGGTGGCTCCGTCCGCGTTCCACAGCGCCGTGAAGGCCCGCAACCAGTGCTGGCGGTAGCGCGCCTTGGCGGTTGCAATTATCCCCTGGTCGAGCGGCTGGGTGAAGGCCGTCGTGTTAGGCGGCAGGAAGACCAGGCGTAGGTTGCTAAGGCAGGTCGTGCGAAGGCCGCACACTATTTCGCTCCACCCAAACTCGCTCCTGAGCATGTGCGAGCTCGCGTTGTCGAGGAGAATGACGATGTGGCGGCCCTCAGCATACATGGCCGCATTGAGCTGTTCAATGAAGTGTGTGAACAGCTGTGGGAGGGAAGCGATGGGAGCGGGATAACCGCATTTGAGGTGATGATACGGTGCGCCGCATAGTACAAGCCACATGGCGCGATCATAGTGGCAACACGTAAGCTTAAACAACAACCAAACGCGCACCTACTAGAACTAGAAATGCCACACAATCTCACCGGCGCCGTCATCCATCCTTTGGCGTTGTTACGCCAGTAACAAAGCCTTTCAGGGTCGTAGTCCGGGCGAAAGTCATGCGGGCGCCTCGCCTTAGAGATGACCAACGGACGAAACGCGTGGCTCCCGTCGGCATAGATGAGAAACGCAACGGTAAGGCGTTCCTTCGACACCTTCCGCCCAGGAATACGAGCGTTGCTGTAAGTACGCCGCGGGAGCACGGACAGCCACAGCGCGGTTTCATCGAGGTTGTACGTGTCGCGCGGACGGGCGGAGAGATGCATGAGAAGCCGCGGGAGCTTCTCCTGGCAGTCGCGCACAGCGGCATGGTCCGCGCTTGCCGCCTCGCCGACAGATGCACGGCACCTCACTCCCTGCCGCCGCAACGCACGCCGCACCCATCCGATGGAGCAGCGAAACATGGGCGGAATGCCCATGTTACGAGCCATCGTCGCGACGTGGTCGCGGATGGTTTGCAGCATCAACGGGACGCCGGCTGGCCCCGCGTTCGAGATCCACCTTGCCATGGCCTGCTCCAGCTGAGGCCATGCGCCTCCCCGCCGGCGGATTGGGTTGTCGCCTGTCTCGACCACAGCCCAGCGGTCGGCGCTTTTCAGGATGCGGCCGATGGTGGAGCGGTCCGGTCGAAGGCGATACTTGGAGTAGCACCACCGCGCCAGGTCAACGTGACGCAGGCGCGGGTTCTCCACATGGTGGAGACAAATGGCGCGCTTAATGTGCACAGGAAGCTGCTCACGGCGGTGGAACCGAGGCATGTTGAATGGCGGGGGTGTGAGAAACTGATGCATAACTGAAGTCAATGCCGTTGTTTTAAAGTTGAGTTACTCGCCCAGTGATGCTCGCTAGGGGCCTGTTCCGAGTGGATGGTGGTGTGTTCTGTGCCAGGTTCGTTTCGTGTATTTGGTCTGAGGGTGGGGGCACTGTGATTTGTAACCACATATTATGACGCCTGACGTGGGCAGGGCGAACAATGCTTGGTTGCGTATGCTCTCTTACCCTACAAGTGCAGGTTACACGTGGCAAGGTGAACCTGACAGTCTGACTGTTACATGCACCATGAATCTCGCTTATCTGTTTGGTTAGTTTGGCGAATGCATTTACGAAGCCAAGCGGGTTTCGTTCACACATTTCGGGTGTGTGTCTTCTGGCCTAAATACTGAGAAAACCAGGGTCGGCGTGGTTTGTTTCTGACTGCACGTGCAGAATCGTTCGAAGCGCGTGCACAGTACCCTGCCATCCACGTGTCTGTACCGTGGGTGCATTTGCCCGGGGTGGAAACATCGGGTGCAGCGTTTCCATCCGGTGCATGGCAAATCCGCGTGCACTGGTTGGGCATCATGTGTACTGTAATGTCCATCCACATCCTCAGCCTACTAATTCCTGATGCAGCCTATTTGAGCCCAGACGTAGCAGCAATGGGTTTCCATGCCACACACCCAGTTCACTTCATACTACAACGCCTACATCCACTAACTCGCACAAGCCTTGCGGCATTTTGCGATCCGGCAAGTTCTGTTAAGGATGGATCTTTCAGCCACAGTAAAGCCGTTGCCACCTGTGCAAAGAACCTCCTCGTTCTCCTGTCAGCGTCTCTTCCGTTCCTCTCTCCTCCTCCTCGTCGCATTTTTTCTCAGCACCCATTCCGTCGCCTGCTCCTTCGCCAAACCTTCTCGCGAACCCCTTCGCGAACCGGTCCGTCGTCGCCTGACAGAAGACGGCGGCCTCGGCGAGGTTCATGAGAAGCTCGGCGCGCTATGGGACATGGCCAGCCGCCTCTCGCTTAACGGGACCATCATTATCGCGTTGTCCAATGCAGGTGCGATGATGGTTCGTTAAATTCTCCTGCCCGCCATTCCCCAGTATTCCGTTACCACATTACTGTATTCGTTTTCCCATGTTACCCTGCTTCCGGCCTTCGAGACATGCTGAAGAAGCGAAAACTTCTTTCCTGCTTCCCTCTTCACTGGATTTTCTTCGTGTTGTTACCCTGTTACCCTGTCGCTGCGTGAAATGGTGAGTCGTCCATGTTGCATCCAGTCAATGTAATTGCATTGGTGGTCCCCAGCCTGTATGCTGGCCATGACTACGCCATTATGCTTACTAGCGAGGACCGCAGGTGTGTGTGGCTTCTGAGTAGACTAACATCCCCATTCCCGCCGGGCAATGTTACCCTCTTACCCTCATTCCCTGTCTGTCGCCATGGGGTGACCATGTTTCGATGACATGCTGGAGAACTGGGTGCTGCATGTGAGCGCGTTAAGATGCGCCAGAAGGCTCTGAGTTCACTGTTACCCTGTTACCTTGTTACCTTGTTACCCTGTAACCCTATTACCCATCACTGTGCCACTGCAGGGTTCGAGGACATGCTGGAGAACTGGGTGCTGCATCTGGAGCGGGTGGGTCTGAGCCGCCACTTTATACTCTTTGCAGCAGACAACACAATCCTTGAATTCGCTCAGTCCAAATGGCCTGGACAGGTCAGTTCCCGTCCTGCAATGCCCCACAAGCCCCATTCATTCGCTGCAAGAGCCGTCGCAGACGTTCTCGGCCTTATCCCGTCACTCTCTCCCTTCTTCTCTCCCATCCCTTCCTCCCACCTTCTTCCCTCTCCGCCTCCTTCCTCCCATCCCACCTCCCGCTTCCACGATTTCCAAGTCTGAGCCTTCATTATCGACCTGAGAAGGCTGTTGAGGAGCCTCAAAAGCCTTCCTCCCATCTGCTGCTCCCGTGGATTCCAAATCTGGGCCTTTATTATCGACCTGAGAAGCTGGTTTCGGAGAGAGAATGTGGACGGGGGGAGATTGAGGGGCTACATTGAATTGAGGCACTACACCTCTTGAGACGTCTCAAAAGTCGTCTTCTTACACGCGCAGCAAGCATGTGGACCTGGGGGATTGAGGGCCTACATTGAGACACTACACCATACCCCACTCCCTCTCACCCTGTTCCATTCCCCTGCCGCAGGCCATTCACCTCAACCTGAATGGACAATTCAACGACGAGGAGAGCGTGGATGTAAAGATTGTCCATTCTTTCACCTCGTTCTTGATATCAACTCAGCCGATTTCTAGCGTGGCGTCGCACCAGGCCATCTACATCCACCACCTGCTCTCCTTCGCTTTCTCCGTGCTCTCCACCCTCCTCGTTCCTGCAGGCCATTCATCTGGACTAAACCTGAGCGGGCAGTTCAGCGATGAGGAGAACGTGGACGTGAGGAAGGAGGTGGACATCAACTCAGCCGGGTTCTTCAGCGTGGCATCCCACCGGGCAGTCTACATCCACCACCTCCTCTCCTTCGGCTTCTCCGTTCTCTACAGCGATGTCGATATCGCCTTCCTCCACAACCCCCTCCCCTTCTTTCAAAAACCCAATCCTCCCACTGATGTGTCTGCTTCTGCTTCTGCTGCTATTGCTGCTGCTGCTGAAGCTGACACGGACGCTGACACCAGCGGGTTGAATTTCGACGTGTTTTTGAGCATCGACCGGTACAGAGAGCAGCCGTCGCCCTACACAGAGCCCATCGACACGCACCTCCTCGAAAAAGGGGGCCGCATCTACTGCACCTGTCTGCTCTTCTTCCGGCCCACTGCCGCTGCAAAGAGCCTCGTAGGCAACTGGGCGTTTCGGATCGCTAAGCTGGGGCGGGAGGGGGGACTAGACCAGGCGCAGTTTAACCTGGTAATGAAGTGGATGCATCAGATGGGTGTGCTGCCGCGGATCGGCGTGCTGCCGCAGCTGCAGTTCCCGTCGGGGCATCTGATGCAGGAGCACTGGGAGGAGTTTGTGGCGGTGCGGCCACGGGTGGTGATGGTGCATGCGAATTATGTCAAAGGGAAGGGCGCGAAGATTGAGGCGCTGAAGAAGGCGGGGTTGTGGTGGGTGAAGGAACAGAGCAACGCGACTGCTGCTGCTGCTGCTCCTCCTCCTGCTGCTGCTCCTGCTCCTGCTGCTGCTCCTGCTGCTTCTGGCGCAGCTGCTGTAAATGCTACAAATGCTGCTTCTGCTGCAGGGCTGGTTGAGGGGCAGGAGAAAGGGCAGGGAGCAGCAGATGGCAAGGAGAAGGCAGGCGAGGGAAGGGTTGAACACAAGGGAGGAGAAGGGGTGCAGGAAGAGGCAAAGGAGAGAGAGGAGCCTATCTTGCTGTTCCCAACGCCTAAGCCGCGTGAGAAGGCTGACAAGGCTGACAAGGCTGACAGGGATGTCAAGGCTGAGAAGGTTGCTGGGATGTCGAGTGTGCAGCAGAGCAAGGAGGGAGGCGCAAAGGGTGGGAAGGAGGGGGAGGGGCAGGCGCTGATTGGACAGGCAGGTGGAAGCGGTGTGGCAGGAGGGGATGGGGATTGGGAGGCGCGGGTATTGGAGGCAGTGGAGCCGTGGGTGGGGGAGCATCTGCAGACGATGCAGGGGAAAGGGGTGAACGTTGGTGGTGGTGGTGGCATGGCGGTCTTCACTGTTGCCTGCGATGGTGAATGGATGGGGAAGCAGTGGGGTGGGAGAAGAGGGGGATAGAACGTAGCTGCTGGTGGTGGCATGGCGGTCTTCACAGTTGTCTGCGATGGTGCGTTGCTGCTGTCACTGTAAGGTGATTCGTGTAGTGATGCAGCATGCATGGGTGGGTGGGGGAGCATCTGAGGACGATGGAGGAGAAAGGGGTGAAGGTAGCATGGCTGCTGGTGATGGCATGCCGGTCTTCACGGTTGCTTGCGATGGTGCATGGATGGGTGTTAGAGATGACTTTTGAGTCGACTCAAGAGTGATCTTGGGAATATGCAGGAGAAAGGGTTGAGCATAGCTGGCAGGCAGTCTGGTGGTCTTCACATTTGCCTGCTATGGTGCGTGGATGTAAATAAAACAGGTGGCTTCTAGATTGGCCATGAGCTGTTGTGGATTTTACTTTTGAGAATTCTCAAAAGTAAAATCCACATAGCTTTTGAGACGTCTCAAAAACACCCTCTCTACACGTGCCTTCTAGATTGGCCATGAGCTGTTGTGGCGGCTTGCCCACATCACATCAGGCGAATGTTGAGACGTCTCAAAACTAGTTTTGAGACTTGGATGTAGAAACAGGTGGCTTTAAGATCGACCATGAGCTGTTGTGGTGGCTTGCCCACTCAGGCGAATCTCTTGCTCCTGCCTCACCCATCTATCCCTCCCCTGTGCTTGATTCCCTAATCCCCCCTCCACACCACCACCTTCCTCCTACCACTCCTCCCACCTTGCAGGCCAGAATGCCTTGTTCCACTCCGCACCAGGCGCGCATGAACCATATTCCTTCTCTTACCAGTCTCTCCCCCCCACCACCTGATTCCCCACTACCACCTTCCCCCTCCCACACCCCCCCACCTGTCAGGCCAGAACGCCTTAGTCCGCACCTGGTGGGCGCGCATGAATCACATTCTTGTGCCTATCTCCTGTCTTGCCCATCTCTCCCCCATGCCGTATTCCTTATTGCCCCCACCATCCTCCCCCCTCCCCCCCCCCCAACCTGTCAGGCCAGGATGCCTTGTTCCGCACCTGGTGGGCGCGCATGAACCGCTTCCCTTTGCTCGCGAGATCTCTCCTCGCCTCCGTGCCTCAGGTGAATCTTGTGATGTGCCTCAGGTGAATCTTCTGTTGTGCCTCAGGTGAATCTTCTGTTGTGCCTCAGGTGAATCTTCTGTTGTGCCTCAGGTGAATCTCGTGTTGTGCCTCAGGTGAATCTCATGTTGTGCCTCAGGTGAATCTCGTGTTGTGGCTCAGGTGAATCATGTGCCACAGGTGTATTTCGTGCCTCACGTGTCCCCCTGTCTTCTCCAGTGCTCTCCCCGTATGTTGCACCCAAGGCGATGCACATGCTAGATCTCAGTGGTTGGAGCTGTTTGTGCCAACTCAACAATTCCCCCTGCCTTTTTCCTGTCCCTGAGTGTCCTCCTCTAGGTGAAGCACATGTCAGCTCCCAGTGCTTGATTGTGACCATTCTCAAAACCTTGAACACTGATTAGGAGAATTCTCAAAATTCCCCGTGCTTCCCATTATGTTGCACCCAAGGTGATGCACATGTTAGATCCAATCACCTTGGGTGGTTGCATTGCAGCTGTTTGAGCCAACTCAACAATTCCCCCTGCCTTTTCCCTTTCCATGAGTGTCCTCCTCTAGGTGAAGCACATGTCAGCTCCCAGTGCTTGATTGGGACCATTCTCAAAACCTTGTACACTGATTAGGAGAATTCGCAAAATCTCTCATGCCTCCCTGTATGTTGCGCCCAAGGTGATGCACATGCCAGATCCAGTAATCTCACCTTGGGTGCTTGCCTTTTCCCTGTCCCTGTGTGTCCCACCCAAATTTGAGCCAACTCAGTAACGCCCCCTTCCTTTCTCCTGTCTTTTGAGACGTCTCAAAAGCCACCTTGGGTGGTTGCAGCTGTTTGAGCCAACTCAGTAACGCCCCCTTCCTTTTTCCTGTCCCTGTGTGTCCCACCCAAATTGATGCACATGCCAGGGGGCACATCGTAGGTCAACCCAAGGAGAGGACGTCTCTCCAAGTGCCAGCAGCTTTTCGAGTCAACTCAATTCTCTCCCGCCAAGTTCTCACAGCCATCCCCGTGTCTTCCTCCACGTCCCTCCCCGTGTCTCCCCTCATGTCCTCCCCGTGTCCCCCCTTCTCTCCCCCCGTGTCTCCCCCCCATATCCCCCCCGTGTCCCCCCCCCATCTCTCCCCCCGTCTCTCCCCACCACAGCCCATGCGCATGCCAGGGGGGCACACCGTGGACCGACCCAAGGAGAGGACGTCCCTGCAAGTGGCTGCAGCGTTTTGAACCAACTCAACCATCTCCCATGAGATTCTCACAGCTGCCCCCATGTCCCCCCCCGTGCCATCCCCGTCTCTTCCCTCGTGTCTTCCCCCTGTATCTCCCCACCACAGGTCATGCGCATGCCAGGGGGGCACACCGTAGACCGACCCAAGGAGAGGACGTCCCTGCAAGCGGCTGCAGCCACGTGCCTGCTACTTCCTCCCCTCATCATCGCTCGTCTGCTGGCTGCCAACGTCACTGCTGTCTACAGGTGTGCTTTGGTGTGTTTTCAAAGTGCACTGTGTATGATGGTGCAAGCGACTGCAGCCACGTGCCTGCTACTTCCTCCCCTCATCATCGCTCGTCTGCTGGCTGCCAACGTCACTGCTGTCTACAGGTGTGCTTTGGTGTGTTTTCAAAGTGCACTGTGTATGATGGTGCAAGCGACTGCAGCCACGTGCCTGCTACTTCCTCCCCTCATCATCGCTCGTCTGCTGGCTGCCAACGTCACTGCTGTCTACAGGTGTGCTTTGGTGTGTTTTCAAAGTGCACTGTGTATGATGGTGCAAGCGGCTGCAGCCACGTGCCTGCTACTTCCTCCCTTCATCATCGCTCGTCTGCTGGCTGCCAACGTCACTGCTGTCTACAGGTGTGCTTTGGTGTGTTTTCAAAGTGCACTGTGTATGATGGTGCAAGCGGCTGCAGCCACGTGCCTGCTGCTGCCGCCCCTCATCATCGCCCGCCTGTTGGCTGCCAATGTCACCGCCGTCTACAGGTACAGTGCGCAGTGCAGTTAGAGTGTTGCTACAGCTACAGGTACGTTGAGCAGTGATAGGTGCTGTATAATATAATATAAGCACCTCGTGTTCCCCTCATCATCTCCCGTATCCTGGCTGCCTATGTCACCGCCGTCTACAGGTATAGTGCCCACAGAGCAGTGCAGTGAGCAGTGCAGTGAGCACTGCAGTGACCAGTGCTTTGTCCGCAATGCTGCTAGAATCGCAGTAGAATCACCCACTGTCCCCTCATTCTCGCCCGCCTGTTCACTGCCAACATTACTGCCGTCTACAGGTGCAGTGAGCACAGCAGTGAGCAGAGCAGTGAGCAGAGCAGTGAGCAGAGCACATTGCTTTGAAGTATAATCTCCTTGTTTTGCAGTATAACCACCCAAGTCACCCTAAATCTCTCCTTACTCTCCACTAGTTCTTCCCTTTCTCCCCTACGTTCTCCTCATTCGTCCCCCATTCTCCCCGCACTCGTCGCTTATCCTTCTCTCATTCTCTTTTCCCTCCACGCTCCCTCTGCACCTTTTCTTTCCCTCCGCCCCCCTCACCCCACCCTGCGCCCTCCCCTCCTCCCAGCGACATCAACTCAGTGTGGCTGTGTGACGCCCGCTCCTGGTCTCATATTTCCTTTGTTGCCCCCTCAATCTTCCTGCGTTCTCCTTCCCTCCATTGCCCACCAGCGACATCAACTCAGTGTGGCTGTGTGACGCCCGCTCCTGGTCTCATATTTCCTTTGTTGCCCCCTCAATCTTCCTACGTTCTCCTTCCCCCCATTGCCCACCAGCGACATCAACTCAGTGTGGCTGCGCGACGCGCGCCCCTACTTCCTGCCAGCCTACTCCCTCGTGCTGCCCTCCCTCTCCCACCAAGTCCCACCTCAGCAGCAGCAGCCAACGACAGCAGCAGCTCAAGGGGCACAAGGGGAAGCAGAGAACGGGCCAGGAGAGGAAGGAGAGAGCAGCAAGGGGGGTGAGGGTGGGGGCAGCAGGCAGCAGCAGGAGGCAGCAGCCCCTGCACCTGCCAACACCACCATCGCCCTCATGCCATCCCTCCTGGGGTCCCTCTCTCCATGGCTCATGGCTCTTCGCCCCTCCCCTGCTGTGCAAGCCATGGTGAGTCGCTGGGCCCTCAGGGCTTTAAAAGGTTTTAAGTATGCAGAAGCAGCCGAAGCTGCAGGTGGTTCGGGTGTGTTTTCTGGATCGGAGATTCTCAAAAGGGCTCTCACATGCCGTGGCTGAGATGGTTCGGGAAGCGGGGCTTGTGGGAGCGGAGGAGCTTGGGTTGGGTGAAGGTCCGGGTTCGGCAGGAGGCATAGATGCAGGTACGGAAGCAGGTGCGGGAGATGCAGGAGAGGGGCAAAGAGGAGCAAGCGTGGGGGTGCTGCCAGAGCAGTTATTCCCGCCTGGGTGGAAGGTGGTGGGGGATAGGGCATGGCTGGAGGCGCATAGGAAAGAGATAGTGGCCTTGCAGGTCAGCTGTGGGGATGACAGCCAGGTGCAGGAGATGTGTGTCCGAGACATGAAGCTGTGGTTGTAACGTAACTTGTAATTATTGCAGCAGTGGTTGGTACCGTAATTTTTTTTCTGCAGGGGTATTTTCATTTCTGCAGCCTGCAGTGTATTCAGCAAGTTCTTGCTTTTTGCAGTAGTACAGTACTATCATGCGTTGAGCTTGCTATGGTAACTGTGTTATGTTTGATATACTGTAAGTGCAAGATCAATTTAAAAACACCGCTTTGCAGCGGGACCACTCTGAACCCTCGCATAGGCCCTGAATGCAATGGGTGCAGACTAAGACTGGCACCAGCATGAGTACTGGTAGTTGCCACAAAGTTGGACCCAATTGGGCATAAGATGCCCACAGGGTGGTCTTGGCTGCACTGGTCTAGAGCCATAGTGAACGGTGGTGGTGGGGATCTAAATGACGTACCGTTCTTTCTCGACAATAAGACCCTTTGCATTGAAGTCCTCCCAAGTCCTGATCAGGGCCATGTTGGTGCCTTAAATTGAAATACTAAGGAGTTTTCACTTGAGTAGTGATGCATTTGTGCTGGTGTGTTTACCTTTTAATAATTGTGTTTCTCATTTTGTACAGCTATAAGTGTATAGGGAAAGTGCTTATCGTCCCCAGTAACGAGCCGCATGCTTATCGAGGCTGCGAAATCCACTCCCACCAACCAACCGTTCCACCAACAACCCACCCCAACCCAACCAATGGCATGCCACGCCACACCACACCACCTACCTAATCACCCCCCACCCCACCTCTACCACGCACACGTATCTCTCATTCATCCTCCCCCATTTCTTCGGTTTTGTCGCGCCGGAGCTGGGCATACACCTTGGTCCTTGATCCTTCAGCCTGACTTCAGTCGTTCAGTCTGACTACTGAAACTATATTACAGAGACAATCAGCGGCCGGCAATGCGTTGCTGTTGTTGCTGCTGCTGACAGAGAATGCGTGTGCTGTTTACCCCGTGAAACGAGTCAATTCGCCAAGCATGGCGGCTTCAGCGCGAGTTCGTCCGCAGCGGTGGCATTGCTCAGCGCTGCGCGTGTTACTCATCACGACCACCTTTTTGGCGTTCACGTTTGCAGTCGATAGCAGAGCTGGTACGCTGCGCTTTTGACATCATCCGATGCCTCCTTTCCCATCATTTAGACACTTTCCGGGATTCGCAAATGGCGTCAGGAGAATGCTCCCCATCGCAAATTGCATCGTGTAGTTACTGTAGTTACCTTCAGAATGTATGTGCTGCCTAACCGGGGTCGTAGTTTTGAACCACCTTAAAACGCGATCCCTCCCCATCACAAATAGCATCATTTGGGCACTTTCAGAATGCGTTTGCTGCTTAACCCGGTTCGTTACTCCGTCCGTAGTTACCCCGCGTCGTCTGCTCATACTTACTCCGTTTTGCGTCACCGGATTCCACCGGATTCCACCGGATTCCTGTCCAGCGCGCCGGTACTTCGGCGCTCCTGCGCTCTGAAGTTTCTGCAGTTTTTTTTAAGGCCTAAAAGTTGCTCCGATGTTTCGATGCTCGAGACGAGTCGTGTCTTAGGAATGGTGTCAGGCCTAGTCGATGGCGCGGTGCGCTTCGCGTTTGAGCATTGCAAGTTGTCGTCTCGTTTTGGTGGTGTGTGGTTTGCTTGTCCGTCGCTCTATGTATGCTTTTCGTTTCTCTCATGGGCTGGCGTATTAAAAGGTACGCAGCTCAGCACTAGTCATGCTGAAAGGGTATCCGTCTTTCTCTCCCCCTCCTTCCGTCCCTCTCTCCGCCCGTTTCAACGTCCCTTTTCCGTCCAATTTTCCGTCCCTTTTCCGTCCCCGTCCCCGTTCCCGTCCCTAATCCGGCAGCACCTGTGGCCTTTAAGGCGAGCCAAGATTCACCCGAAGTTTTCGCCACGCTGGCAGCACCTGTGTCATTTGAGTCACAGCTAATGCAGACCTCACCTGTTTCCGAGGTAGGGGTGATGGTGAGGAGGAGACGGTTGCAGGCGGAAGGGGGGGGATCGAGTCAGGAGGATGATGAGGATGAGAGGAGGCAGGAAGAAGAGGAGAAGAGGGAGGAAGAGGAGGAGAGGAAGGTGGAGGAGGAAGAGAAGGAGGAGGCGGAAGAGGAGAGGAGGGAGGAGGAGGAGGAGCGAGGTAAAGGGGGAGAAGAACGGGAGGGGAGGGGGGAGGAGCAGACGGGTGAGGCGGGGAAAAGGGTAAGGGAGGGGAAGAGGAGGAGCAGGACGAGGAGGGGGTGTTGGCGGAGGGGGAAGGGGAGGAGGAACAGGAGGAGGGGGAGGGGGAGGAACAGAAGAAGGGGGAGGGGGAAAGGAAGGAAGGGGAGGAGGAGGAGGAAGAGGAGGAGGAAGAGGAGGGCGCACAAGGCAAGGAGGGGAGTTCAAGAAGCAATGAAGGTTCTGGTGATAGCAGAGGTGGCGGTGCCGGTAGTGGTGTTGGCAGCAATGCGGGTGGTACTGCTCCGGGTGTGGGTGGTGGTAGAAGCGAAAGTGGCCAAAGCAGCTCGTTTGGTGGCACTGGCGGTGTTGGTGGTGGTAACAATGGTGGAGCAGGAATGGGAGGAGCGGGAGGAGCAGGAATAGGAGGAGGAGAAACAGGAGGGGGAGGAGGGCAAACGGGAGGGGAGGAGGGCGGCAGGAGGCCTGGAGGGCGGCGCTACGTGCCGCCACTGGCTGACGTGATAGCGAACGTGACGGGCGGCAGGGACCGTCCCATTGTGGTGGTCACGGCTCGTGCTGTGAACCTGGAATTCGTTCACAACTGGTGCGCTGAGGAGGGGATTCTTGGGATTGTGGGCGATAGGGGGAGAACCGGGGGGGGAATTGTGGTGGGAGAGACAGATAGGAGAAGTAGGAAAGGGAGAGGAAGGGTAAGACGTCACGGCTCTTGCTACCAGCCTGGAATTCGTTCACAACTGGTGTGCTGGGGAGAGGATCGTGGGGAGAGAGGATGAGGGGAGGAGGGAGGAGGGGATTGTGGGGAGAGAGCGGATAAGGAAAGAGGGATGGGGAGATGAAGGGTAAGATCTCATGGCTCGTGCTGTCAGCCTGTCAACCGCACGGGCTGCTTTTGAGTCGACTCAAAACCACGTGTGTTGAGTCTGCTTCTGAGTTGTCTTGAAAGCGTGCTGTCAGCCTGTCAACCGCAGGACTTTTTCTAGAATTCTAAAAAATATCTGAGATTTCTACAAAAATAATCTGATAGTTCCAAAAAAAATCCCTGCAACGAGCTGTAATGGGGAGATGAAGGGTTCCTTTACAATAGGAGGCATGGGGAGTTGATTGTGGAAAGGAGTGGCCTATGGGTGCCTATGGGTGCCTATGGGAGCTGCGTTGCGTGCTTGGTTGGTCCCCCGAGCTGCCTGTCTCTTTTTCCTCCCCATTGCACCGAGGTGACTTTTGAGTCGACTCAAAGTCTCCTCCTCGTTGCACCTGGCAGGCGCCTGTCAGTGCAGGCAAAGTGCTTCAGGCGGCGAGTGCTATTCATGACAACGGGGGGGAGAGAAAACATCCTTTTTTCCCCCCACCCCACCCCACCCCACCCCACCCCCTCTTTGCACGTGCCAGGTACCTGTCAGTGCGGGGCAAGCGCATGGGACGGCGGATGCTGTTCATCGCAGAGGGAAGGCGGAAAGGAAACCCTCCTCCCCCTTCTCCTCTTTCTCCCTCCTCCACCCCTTCTCCCCTGCCAGGTACCTGTCAGTGCGGGGCAAGCGCATGGGGCGGCGGGTGCTGTTCATAGCAGAGGATTACCACTCCTTCCGCCTGCTGAACCGCCAGTTCCCCATGCGGACCGCCCTTATCGTCACTCCCAAGAAGGACCAGGTGGGTGCTGTGCGGTGACACATGCACATGCACGTATGCACACTTGTTTATTGCAGATGATTACCACTCCTTCCGCCTGCTGAACCGCCAGTTCCCCATGCAGACCGTCCTTATTGTCACTCCCAAGGGCGACCAGGTGGGTACTGTGCGGTGACAGATACACATGCATACCACGTGGTCACACATGCACAGCTGTAAGGATTACCACTCCATCCGCCTGTTGAACAAGCAGTTCCCCATGCAGACCGCTCTTATTGTCACTCCCAAGAAGGACCAGGTGGGTGCAGTGCGGTGACACATGCACATGTATGTATGCACTCTTGTTGATTGCAGAGAATTACCATTCCTTCTGCCTGCTGAACCGCCAGTCCCCCATGCAGGCTGCTCTTCGTGCGGATTTTTTGAGTCGGCTCAAACAGCCGCTTTCCAAAACTGCACATGCTATTCATGTCATTGCACTTTACATACCTCCGCCCGTGCCTGGTTGCCCCGATGTCAATGCAGACAGCAGGCATTGAGGACCGGCGCCCATGGCATTTTCTTCTCCTTCTGCAGCACAACGTTTCCTTCCTCTACAATGTGAGCCCTCCCTGCTTGACGATGTGAGCCCTGCCCTTGCGCTGCACTGCCATGTCCCACAACAACAACATCTCAAAACTCTTCCTTCGCTTTCTGCAACACAACGTCTCCTTCCTCTACAATGTGAGCCCCGCCCCGCCCCGCCCCGCCCTGCCCCGCCCCGCCCCGCCCCGCCTTGCTCGCTCCGCTCCGCCCCGCCCCGCCCTGCCGTGCCGCCCACGGCATGTCTTCCTCTACAATGTGAGCCCTGCCCTGCCCTGCCCCGCCCCGCCCTGCCCTTCCCCGCCCTGCCCTTCCCCGCCCCGCCCCCCCCTGCAGTGCCGCCCGCGGCATGTCTTCCTCTACAGCGTGATCCTGCTTGCCGTTCATTCATCTGTGCATTTTCGTTTAGACTTGTCCAAAGCGATACCTCGTCTGCCGCCACCGTTGAGACGCCGCAAAGGCCCTCCCCCATCCCTTCCCCTCTCTACACCATCAGGAGCAAAGGCCTCTCTCAAAGGATCCAGACATGGTGTGGCTGCACCTGCCATTCATCTGCTTAACCACTCACCCCCCCCCTCCCCCCTCCCCCCTCCCCCCCTCCCCCTGTAAACACTCCAGGATCCGGACATGGTGTGGTTGCAGCTGCCCTTCGGTTACTTCAACGGTGATTTCGACCTCTGGGCTGCCTCTTCCGCTGCCACCTTTGACGCACCTCAGCAGCCCACCGACGACGCCGCCCCCTCCACCAACCACCACCTCCTCCGCCCCACACCTCTCCCACCCAACCAACCGCTCTCCACCGCTCTGCTTTTCTTCCGAGCGTCCCCTGGCGCCAGGGCGGTGGTGCAGGGGTGGCAAGCGGAGCTCAAGTTTATTGTCATGAAGATGAGAAAGCTGGGCGTGCCGATTAACCAGAGCGAGGGCGCGTTCAATCGCGCGGTTCGAGGAGCCGGGAGCGCCGCCAGGGTCGCGCTGCTGCCGCAGTTGCTGTTCCCGTCGACGGCTCTTTATTTCAGGTGGGTCGGTCGGAGAGTGTTTGCTGTTGGGTCTGTTTTTGTGTCTCAAAAATCGCTGCCGCAGCTGCTGTTCCCGTCCACAGCGCTTCTCTTCAGGTGCGTCGATCGGAGAGGGCTTGCTGTTGGGTCTTTTTTTTTAGACGTCTTAAAGTTGCTGCTGCAGCTGCTGTTCCCGTTGACGGCGCTCTACTTCAGGTGGGTCAGCGAGTGTTGAGAGGTTTCAATACGTGATGTGAGTCAGAGAATGTTTGCTGTTTGGTCTCTTTGTTTATAGCACCACACAGCGGTGTTGAGACGTCTCAATACTCAGGTGAGCTGGTTGGGTCTTGCTGGTTCTGGCTCCCCGCAGCAGTGAGCTGGTGCGGGTTGTTAGGTTTGTTCATTCCGAGGGGCCTGTAAAGGGACCTGTCAAGGGGCCTGTCAAGGGGCCTGTAAAGGGGCCTGTCAAGGGGCCTGTTAAGGGGCCTGTAAAGGGGCCTGTCAAGGGGCCTGTCAAGCCCAGGCAAAAGGAACTAGGCTGCAGATGTCCTTTCTGCTGCTGAGGCTCTTTCCAATGACATGCAGTTGTGCTTTGTTTTCAGTGAGCTGGCTTAATCCTTATCTTCCTTTTTGCTTTCCGTTTACCCGTTTCATTTTTTTCTCCTCTTCTCACTCTTTCTAATGCGGTATCCTGGTGTTGCAGCAATCCCTCATTTCGCTCGGATTTGGAGGCGAAGTCAATTAGACCAGTCGTGCTACACAGCAGCGCAATTGAAAACAGGCTTGAAAAGAAGAGCCTTTTAAAGAGTCACGGCCTATGGGTGCTATCGGATAAATGGCAGCCGTTTGCTATGGGACGCTCCCAAAACATTGGTGGATGAGGCACACACTGAACTGTATTTTATGTGACAGTTGAGCCTAATTCTTGGGTGGTTGGATTGGTATTGTAAATGTTGCAAGTATTCTAGTAATTACTGACAGTGCGCCACTACTTCCTATTGTAGGGGAAACTGTCTACTGGAGATCGAACAATAGCGAATCTTGAAAGTAGAATTTCGCAACGTGCGTACCCTCTAGAAGCTTCAAATTCGTTTTCCCACTAATTCCCGCTTTGTCATTCTCCCGCCATTTGCTTTGGCGACACAGCCCAGCCTCCATCCACTCAATACTTCCCCTTGCTCTCCCCTCACTCGTTCATGTGGACGATGCCTCCGGAAAAAAAGGTTGAGGCTTGGGTTGGGTTTGTTCGGTAGTTTTTCGTCCCGACCAGCCATAACCTCACGGGATGAAGTAATTTCTGAAGGTATTGTTCCTTAGGAGCGCGATCGTGACGTCGTGTCGACCTATCGGATTGCGAAGTGCAAGCGTAGCGCGGCGATAGCCAATCATGACCACCAGCGCGTTGGCCGGGATTCTTTCAGAGGCCACGTTGACGGTCGACGTGGCAACGAAGCACGTCCGCGAAGCGACCGATGTGGCTATTGCTGACGCGGAAAGAGCTCCGCACGTCCTGCGGCGAGCAGCTGACGTGGATGCGGACGACCCTGCCACGTGGCGCGAGCTCACGCTTCCGTCGCGAGGGTTTTCGAGGGTGAGATAAACAGGAGGATCCACTGTTCTTAACGCAAAGCAATAGCAACGCGATATGCTGCGAGAGCAGACGTTGGTGATCACGAGGTCGAAAACCCCGAAACCGCGTTAACCCCTTTTGTAGCTCCTTCGCCATTCTTCTTGTGCAACGTTCCTCATCATCATCGTATCAGAAGTGACTTTTGAGTCGACTCAAAAGTCAGCTCGTTCCTCAACATCAACATCGTATCAGAAGTGCTTCAACTGACAGCGCCTAAAACGACATTGGTTTTCGGTTTACAGCGCCTTATGTGGTTTGCCTCACTACGTCCCTCAAATGTCTCACTGCTTTTGAGAATTCTCAAAAGTGCTGCTCCTTCCGACGCCGCGTCTCTCCCATCTTCGCTTCCCTCCCCTCCCCGCTCCTTCTGAACCTCTGTCCACCTGCCGTCCACAATCGATCCCCACTGCCAGGTGGACAGCCTCGCAGCCTCCTCTGAGTCTCCCCGCCTCCTCTCCTCCCCGCTCTCTCTGAACCTTTCTCCCCCTGCCGCTCTCAATCGATCCCCACTCCCAGGTAGACAGCCTCGCAGCATGCTCCCAGTTGACTCGCCTTGACTTGAGCGGAAACAACTTGACTTCCCTCGAGGTGAGCGGTGAGGGGTGCGGGCTGAGGGAGAGGAGGGAGAAGGGGGGGGGGAGAGGGGGCATACGTGGAACGTGGTGTTACTCACACCCACTGCCAGGTGGACAGCCTCTCGGCCAGCTCACAGTTGACTCGCCTTGACTTGAGCGGAAACAACCAGACTTTTCTGGAGGTAAGTGCACGTGGCTGTATCTAAGCCGGGATTTGGAGATTAAGCTGTCTCCGAGATGTGATGTTTGCGTACCAAACCCGAACCTTGACCCCTGACCATAAACCCCAAACTTTTCGCCAAAACCTCGAAATTCCCTCAAATACTAGCTTTTTTCTAAAACCTTGACTTCTACTAAAACCCCGATTTAAATTCCCGTTAAAAATTTTCAACTTCGCCTCCGCCCCTCATGTTTCCCTTGGTACGCCGCCTCTCATGTTCGCCCCTCAGGGCTTCTCCTCCTGCGTGTCTCTGCGCTTGCTGGACATTGCCAGCAACAGCATCCTCCTTGCTTCATGTCTTCTTAAAGCCCAGCCCCCGAATTACCGAAACGCCTTCACAAACTGGGCCCAGTTTGTGTCTCGCTCCTTCAGGTTTCGGGAAAGAGAGGTTTAGGGGAGGTTTTCGAACCTCAACACTCTGCTTTCCCAAACCTATTTTCCCGCATTGACTTCCGTTGAGTAATTCGGGTGTTGCCCTTTAAAAATCCCATTTCATGTCTTGATTTCTGAAACCCCGTTCCCAACATGCAACTCTCAGGGCCTCTCCTCCTGCGTGTCTCTGCGCTGGCTGGACATTGCCAGCAACAGCATCTCCTCACTCCAGCCGCTCACGTCCCTCACCGCCCTCCTGGTAGGTTCTATCATCAATCAGTCAGCCACACTTCCCAAAAGAAAAGAAAAGAAAAAAGAAAGGAAGAAAGAAAAAAGAGCTCGCACGTTCTCATCGTGCCCATGACACTCTCCCACTCTTCCCCCCCCTCTTCCCATCAGGTTCTCAAGGCGGGTCACAACATGGTGGGGGGCGTCTCTCCTCTCACGCACCTGGCACGCCTGCATGTTGTCTGAGACCGTTTGTTCACTGAAGCCACTCACTCTCATCGTGCCTCCTGCAACCCCCTCCCCACCCACCTCCCCCATCAGGTTCTCAAGGCGGGTCACAACATGGTGGGGGGCGTCTCTCCTCTCACGCACCTGGCGAGGCTGCAGGCGCTCATTCTGAACAGTGAGTGCAGGCGCTCATTCTGAACAGTGAGTGCAGGCGCTCATTCTGAACAGTGAGTGCAGGCGCTCATTCTCAACAGTGAGTGCAGGCGTTCATTCTGAACAGTGAGTGCAGGCGCTCATTCTGAACAGTGAGTGCAGGCGCTCATTCTCAACAGTGAGTGCAGGCGCTCATTCTGAACAGTGAGTGCAGGCGCTCATTCTCAACAGTGAGTGCAGGCGCTCATTC